AAAAGATAAATAACTTTTCACTTAATTTCAATACTTGTAGTGTTGCTATATGTGAGTGAAAAGTGTAAATGTATATATKTTTGCGTATATATATATATATGCGTGTGTGTGTGWGTGWGTGTGTGAGAGAGAGAGAGAGAGAGAGAGAGAKAGAKAGATAGAGAGAAAGATGAGACACACGGAGACGGACAGTTAGGTAGCACTTAGAGCACACCTTTTTATGGTTAATTTTTTTTTATATATCTTTTAACATATACTGTAGTTTCTTTACATATAGATAGACATTTTRTCCAAAATAGGTGTGACTCGATTTTGATATAAACAAAATGTTTTATTTTATCAAATTATATTATCTATAGTGTAAAATTCTATACTGTTTAATATKTARTAAACATAAGTTTCTTATATTCTTAGTTAATATATATAACATCTAAAATAATATATTAAATCTAAAAATATTMATTTCATGCTTAGTGTTGRCAAAAAAAGAGAAATTTATAAAATAATAGACAAATTTCTATCTATGGGTTCCTAATGTTAATTTTGTTCTCTCGATATTTGTAATCATTTAACAATRCATTATTTACAATTAATAATTAAATATTATTGTTAATATTTTAATTATTAATTAAAGTAAAAAAATAATTAATTTAATTATATTAACTATGATATATAAAAAATAATGAATAAAATTTTTACAAATCTGATTTTTATTAAATAATTATTTTATATATAGGTATSCCATTTTGTATAGTAGTGTAGTATATGTAGTATAATATTATATGTATATTATTATGTCTCATTAATATAGTATTACAATAGGCTATAGATATAGAGATATCCATTTCATAAAAATTAAGTTATATTTCTATAGAAATTTATTCCTGAGAAATTTTCTAGAAACTTTCTCCTGTAAAATTATCAGAAACTTTCTATTTGCCCATCTCTAATTATGCTTTAAATGATTTGATTATTAGTGTTATAGCAAAAAACGCGTATAAGGTATTTTGACAAATTCTTACATAAATATATATAAATATAAAACTAAGTGTCAGTCAGTATTTTCTCTAAAAGCAATCTGTTTAAAGCAAACTTATATATAAGTTTTGGCATTTACTAAACATAASACATACCTGTCCATTGTGTGAGTGTAAACTATAGACAACCTGTTGATATATTTCATTTATAGTTTTATTTTTTCAATAAAACTTTTATTATCTTTGTGTAGCAAATATCCGKAAAAAATATTATTTAACAAAAATAATATTTGTTTCTTATATATAATAAAAAACTAAGTAAAATATTTTAACAGTTTTATTAAAAATAGACAAAATACTATAATTRTTTGAAAAAAACTAAAAATTTTAATATTTTTTTTGTATGCGATAGCATCAATAATTATTCAATAATTAATATAAATGATGAAAACGGCTATATTTTTAGTGTTTGCCATCTATTTTACGATATCATTGGAGTGTATCCTAGCTCTGGCCTACAAACGATTCAAAGCTCCCGACAGGTTTCACTGTCTCGACAACAATAATCGCGGTATTTATATATTGATTATATATATATAAATATTTATTAATTTAATTGTTTTTTACAAAATATTTCTTATTTTATGTTTATTTAATTGATTTRTCGTTTGTCTGAACACTTAATTATATATAAAAAAAAGTTCATTTTTTAGACAATAGACAAAAACCTCAGTTTAAATTGACTTACATTACATTCATGTCTATTGTGTTAGTAATAAACTATAATATTTTTATAATTAATTTTATTTGCTATAAATATCATAAATATTTAAATCATGTTTAATAATGTTATTCTCATTGAATGAACAAATAAATATTTAACAACTATTTTAACTAAAATAAATGATTTTTATATACACACATATTACTAATATGTACAAAGTTTATATTGTATTCACAATTACTATTTCATTGAAATTCCAAAGAAAAATTGAAACAATTTATTAAATAAAATCTAATATTTAATAAAATTAATTTTATATTACTTTTCATGTCATTTATACAAATAAGATAGAAATTTCTTAATTAAATTCTTACTAAAAATTAGACTTTATATTTATTTATATACAGTGTTATAGTATATAAATTATATGTAAATAATAAAATATGATATACTAGTCACATAAGCTACTAAATACTTTTTTTTAATGTAAAACATTTGTTTTTATATTAGTTATGTAAATATAGAAAAAGATAAACTGAAATTAATTTTTATTATATTTTTGTCTTTTATGTCATTTAATTTTATGACACAAACACTGTGTATCTCTCGGTACAGGTGCTATAAATGAGGCCATGAAGTCGGCATCGTTTATGCCGATAAGCAATCAACAGARAAAGATAYTGAAAYTATATGAGGAGTGTATCAAATCAAATGAGTTTCGCTTTAAGAAGTCCTCTTACTCATCGGCACCGGTAGACCATAAGATGGCCTATATTTTAACACTAAAACGACAACACTCTCGAAAGCAATCAGATCCCGATTCTGTGTACTATCCATATCGCTATATATTAGACAAATTAGATCAATATTATGATTATTAATTGTTTTGTTGTTTTATAATTACACTTTTTTTGAATACTGTGTAGTTTATTATTTAAATGTCAAAAATTTTATTTTGTTTATTTTGTTATATGTTATTATTAAATATTAAATTTTTATGTATATATTCATATAACTTATTTGATATATGTTATATTTTAAGAGATTAAAAATAATATCAATATATTTTTATCAATTATTTCTTTTATTTAATTTTAATAAATATTTATTTTAACTAATTTTTATACAATTTTTAAKAATTAAATATTAAATAAAAAGCACTTATAAATAAAAAATATTAAATTTTTTTATTCATTCAATAATTTTTTGATAATTATTTTGTTATTATTTAGTTAGTTATTAATTTTTATGTAATTTTGAGCAAAATATTATCATATTTAATAAATATTTATTGTCAATAARCAATTTTAACATTTATATTTAAATAAATATAATATTATTATTTATGTAAAAATARTATGAATCGTAATTTTAAAATATCATTGTTAAATTTATATATGTATATGTATCTGATATAATATATAAAAATATTATTATTATTTTAAATTATTGTCATATTATATATTATCTTATTTTTACAATCGATTTGTGTAATACTGTATATTAAATAAATATATAAAATTATTTCTATCTTTACGTTAAACTAAAAAACAAAATATTTAATACATTTTCTGTAAAAAATACATTATTTTTCAAATAAAGTTTTCCGAATTAAAATTATAATAAAAAAATGTTGTGCAAAAAAATGTATAATAAAATTATTGATAAAACTTTCTAAATATAAAATGTAAAAACATTTATAATAATTTTTAGTTAATTAAGTGATCTATTAATTTAAAAATCTATATAAAGTATAATTTAAACAATATTCATACATTTTTAAAAAAGTCTAAATTTTTGATTTGATTTAAAAAAGACATAGATTTAATGTTTTAACCAATTATATAGTTATATTATATAATTATATGTTATAAAATAGTATATATTAGACAAAATWTTCTTTCAATCTTTCAAAAAATTCTCTAGACAAATATTTATATAACTTTTATTAGTTTATTACTTTTACAAAATATTATTTTTTGTTTAGTCTATAAGTTAAAAGTACAATATATTTATACTGTATTTCATAYTCAAACATTTTTTATAAACTTTTTATTGCAAATAAATTTATCTTAGTAAATTRTATATGTTTTCAATTCAATTTCAATTCAATATTAAATAATWTATTATAAAAGTTAATAAGTTTTAAAATTTTATCTGTTTTATTTTAAACTGCTATAATATTCAACACAAGTATCTAAAGTTAMYCACAGTATTGTTTTATTAGACAAAAGTGTAGAYTTTTGTTTTTATGTTATGTTTTATATATTGGAAAAATTATTAGTAAATATAAAAACATTATTTTGTAAGTTACAAAATGTAACTATTATTATTTTTTATATTCACAAAATAATCTAATTTTTCATTTTTAACATAATAATTTGTAATATAATAATAATTGACATAATAATAAAAATATTTATCTTGTTTATATTTTTTAATACTATATATTAAACAATATTTTTTTTTTATTTTAATATTATGACATTTTATTTTATTATACGACAAACTATTCGGATTTGTGAAAACACTAATAATTATTATATTATTATTTTTTTGCATATAAATTCAATTTTCAGATTAAATAGATGTATATTATTGAATTACATGGGAATTATTAATAATAGTATTTAATTGTATTATTTGCGGATATACTGTATAATAGACATTGTATTATAAATTAAAGTATAGTTACTATAATTAAATTATARTATTATATATAATATACTACTTTATTATTTACTGTAGTATTATTTACTGTAGTATTATTTAGTTAGTAAACTATTTGTTAGTAAATTATTTGTTTAATTATATTAAATTTATATTTTTGCTATTTTATTGCTTATCGAAATATTTGTTTTTATTTTTTTAGTTTATACTATTAACATAAAATTATTTACCATTTTATAAAATTGTCCAAAAATAGATACTTTTAAAATGTACAAAAAAATAAATAATTATTATTAAAAATTAAAGAAAATAATATATTATTAATACAATTTATATATTACACTAAATGTAAACATTTTAAAATATTAACATTTTAATCAAATAAATAGCTAGAGATGTGTGTATTTTTTAAAATAAATAATTTTTATTTTATTAATATAATATATAAATATATGATGTCAATAATCGTGTAACATAATTAAAATATATATATATATTGTAGATATAAATAGTTTATAAATAGTATAATACATTTGAAGTCAAAATTATAAATTATATATAAATTATGAAATGTTTGGTTTATTTACGAAATGTCATAATCAATGTCTTAAGCAATGTCTTAATCAATGTCAATGTCCTCCGTGACTATGTTTAGTCCAATGGCTCGAGTGATGGTGTTTGGGATGCCATGAATCCCAGTGCGACTTCTTGTGTCCACTGCTGCCATGCGATCCRTGTTTCTTGCCGTGAGCTTTATGTCCGTGACTACCACTGCTACCATGGGATCCATGTCCGTGATGTCCACCTTTTTTGAAGTGATGAGAACCGTGATGTCCRCCGTGTGAGCCGTGTTTATGGCCTGATGAGTGTCCGCCGTGAGATCCGTGCGATTTTTTGCCGCCCTTTTCCCGATCCCACGACCACTTCTTCACATAACCCGATCCCTTATCTTTCTTCCAGTTTTTCTATTATATAAACAATAAATAATTTTAATAACTAATAATATTGATTAAAAARTAATTAAATATAATAATAAACCCACCTCTTTACCATGTTTACCCCAATGTCCTTTTTTATGTCCCTCTCCGTGTTTACCCCAATGACTGCCGTGTTTGTTACCTCCCTTTTTATGATAGGCTCCATGTCCTTTTAAGATGATTTATTGAATTATACAATACAATTAAATTAAAATAAAATAAAATGAAAGTAGTTTTAAAATTATTAACTTTATGACAAATGTTTTATAAGTAAAAAACTGCAATAYTGTAATAAAAACAATTTTTTATTTATACAACACAACAATATCTATTTCCTAAATTATTTTTTTTGTTTATTATAATAGTTCTAAAAAATTTTTTTATTAATTTTGTTGTCACTAAAAATTTTTAATTTATWTGACAACAATTTGTTAAATGAATTAAATATTGATCTCATTTTAAAAAGAAAATAAATAAATACTTTATCTCAATATTATTTATATTATTTAATAGAATTTAAATAATTTTTTTGTAAGCTATGTATTGCTATTGCATACCATGTTTGCCCCATTTGTCATGTTTGCCATGTCCCTGATGACCTTATAATAATAATAATAATAATGTAGATTCAATTACAGTGAAATGATTACTTATAAATTGTTAGAAAACAAAAATATCAATTAGCATAGCATACCCCATGATGATCCATGTTGACCTGATTAGACCATTGCATAGTATAATCATTATTACACAACCAATAAAACAAACAAACAAAAGTTTATATCATATATACAGTAGAGTACAATAATTAGCATACAATTTACATAATATATATATATTCTGTCTATTTCTGGTATAAAATAATACTACAATTGAAACTTTATATACAACTACTAAATATTTTATATTACTATTGTTTTGAAAAATATTATATATTCTATAATATTTTAATATATCTGTCTAAATATTTATATATAATTCAAACTTACATAAAGCTMTATTAAATGTAATTTATAAATAGTAAAAAATAAACATAAATTATGTTTAAAACTTAAATATTAAATAATTAAACATTTAATAATTATTAACTACAAAAATCAGACCATGTTTTTTATGTCCAGCACTGTGACCACCTTTACTGCCTCCTCCGCCGTGTGACGTATGTTTAGATCCATGAGCCGTGTGGTGATGATGACCACCGGCCGCCACATCCAAGTCTTTTGTGTCATTTAATACATATTTTCGGTCATAATTTAGATAAGTTTCACTCACTTGTAGTCTAGTATTATCGACTTTTTCATCGCCATAAACCAAATTATTAAACACTACTACTGAAAATATAACATATGTAATACATAGTAATATATAKATGTTATTCAATTTCATATTTTATTTTTATATAAATAAATAAATCAATAAAATTATATTAAATAAATAAATTTTTTCCAAAAATCTTATAAAAACTAATTTAAGTTAATAATTTTTTGAGWGCCTTTTTATATACTTTARGGTATTTCTAATTAATTACAAATTTGTTTTATTTATAACAATTAACTGATTTGTTTTTTTTCATTTTATAAGACTATTAGTCTATAAATTGTTTATATAATACAAATTGAATATGTATCTAAAATAAATTGGCCACAAAATTTGTRTACACCTATTAGTATGAGGTCCTAATTTTATATGTAATTTACTGTAATATATTGTAATACTGTATATAATTCAAGGTTTAGATTTATTTATTAAACTTCTATTAGTCTCTATTGTCTGCTAATGTGCTATAATTTTACTTAATAATATTTAAATTTTATTATTTTTTCTATTGTTATTATTTTTTATATTATCTATTAAAAGTTTATTTAATGACATGTATATAAAAAATATCATCTGAATTTTATATATTGTCAACCAATTACCCACTGATAGTGACATTAATTTACGCCTATAATCGTRGTCTTAATATTAATGACCCTTAAATTTTTTTACTACAATATTAAAAACCAATTATCCGTATCGACACTAATATCTTATATAAATGTGATATTAATATAACAATTTTTTTAAATAAGTTTATTTAAATATATTTTTTAGTGGAATGTTTATAAATAATAACTTTATATATAATTGATATTATTTTTTAATAAATACTATAATTAGTAATTTAATATTGAATATTAATAATATTTTATTATTATTAAATAATTTTAATAAAACTTTATTAATCTAATATTATACTTTTATATGATTATTTCAATACAGTATTTATTTTTATACTCTTATTAATATATCAATTAATATAGGAATTATAATATTAATAAATTAAAAATTTTATTAACAAATAAAAAATAATTTGACATTTTATCTATGATATTTTAAAAAATAATATTCATGTAACACATAAACTTAAATAATGTAAAACATATATATTATGCACTTTTGTCAATACTTTACACTCAATCCATCATAAAAACATATATTGATGACATTCACACAATAAGCTAGATTTAGTGTTACAAAACAATTTTCAATTGCATATTATCTAAGCTATAATTAATTAATTAACTAAAGCAAATAAACACACACACACACACACACACACACACACACACACACACACACACACACACATACATACAYACACAYACAGTTGAGTAYTTYAATATAACCTGATATTGATTTGTAAGGTTAAGCTTTGTACTCAATTAGCTCTAATGATAAATTTGTGTTGTTTTTTGTTGATAAATAATTAGTACTTATAAATACTTGTACAAAAAAAGTGTAAGAAAAAATAAACTTTTTTTTTGTATTATTAGACAATTTATTAAATAATAATAAATTTGTTAATTGTTTTTCATATTATACTATAATTATRTTTGTTATGTATTATAGTTAGTCACTCACTCACTCACCCACTCATGTATTTTAAATAGTAAATAAGTATTATTAATATGTTAGTACTAATCTAGTTTGCTGATGGACCGGATCACCTGAATAGACAATATAAGGGCAATCATAGACATAGACATTAATTAATGTCTATTATTTTCTGCATTTATACTTTTATACAGTATTAAAAACAATACTAATTGTTTAATTTATATATCACTATTTAAATACTATTTTGCTGACTATTATATTTCTAATTGTTTACACTTTTAGTTTTATTTATTATATTTTTTAGTTTTGATTTTTGTTGTTAGTGTTGTTTAAAAAAATAGTTTTTAATGAGAAATAGTTTTAATACATAAATTATATTGATATATTAAATTATTATATTGTTGGTATATGTTGTGTTAAAATTTAGTTTATATAATAAATTATAAAACAAATATAATTATAATAATTTATTTGACTAAAAATTAACCTATGTTTTGAACTTTTTTTATAAGTTATAAGGTTACTTGAAGTAAAAATTATAATTTAATTATTATAGATTGCTATTAACAAATCATTGTTATAATTTATAAAGTTTACTATAATTTTTTTAAAAATTTTGTATAGTATTATTACATTGCACAGTCTATTATAACTTATTGTATTCAATACAATGAAAACTACTAAATATATATTTTTAATTTTATCTTTTCAATACTAAATTTWAAAAAATATTTTARTAATAATTTATTTAAAATTTTGATAACATATAATAAAAATTATAAAACATAATTAATATAAATAAAATATTAATATTAAACATTTTTTAAATTTCAAATTTCCGCTTAAAATTATATCTATTTTATTTTAAAATCTTTAAATAAGTTAATAAATAAGTCTCACTATAATGATAAAAATAAAAATATACAAATTAAAACACTAATTAATATTAATAATAACCATAATATATGCAGAAAAAACTTTTTAATTTTGGTTACATTATAATGCAAAAAATATTACATAAACTTTTTCATTGTTTAGAAACTAATTTTAAAATGAATTTTTGGGTTAGCATTCAAAAAATAATTTACACAAAATATTGACGAAAATAATCATTTGAAATAAGTGAACACAATATTTGTAATTAGTATTTAAATTATRACACTTAAACTATAGTAATATATGCATTAGTTTTGGCACTAACCGTATCCGATGGTACGGAAGTATAACTATATATACTGTATATAATTTATATTATATAATATTTTCTACATATAAAACAGTATAAACATATATAGATATATATAAACATAAACAYAATACTTATATTACCGGTAATTAATATAACATTTTTCATTTTTAAACACAAATTATTTACGCATAATTTTTATCGATATAAGAGTCATATAATTAATAATAATAAAAAAATTAAGTAATTAATTTTAGTAAATTACAAGTATATTATTCATATTACATAAAATAATTACTGTTTATTTTGTTTGTTTGCCCAAACAATTGTTTTAGTTCATAAAAGTATAATASATTTATGAATTTAAACAATTATATATAAATACCGTAGAAATTCATTTAAACTTCACTCTYATTTTCATATAATTTGCATAAAATACAGTATTATATGACTTAATGAAAACTTTACTGTTATTTCATAGTTAACTATTTAGACAATAAAARCTASGGTTTCATTCAAATCAAGTGTCAGTATCGACAGTGAATAAGTGTGGATAACAATGGATAATAATATGAGAAACAGCAAAATGTTTCAATTGTTCACTATTATTGTGTGCCTATTGGTAGCGCATACCAGAGCTTTGGACACCAGTTCCAGTGATATCAAGACTAGTGAGACAAAGTGGCACCCAGTGCTGCATTGAAAACCATMGGTTCTGTACTTCAAGATCTTCAGACAGCTGCCAGCTATGGTGGCGGAGGAGGAGGTGGTGGTGAAGGAGGTGGAGAAGGAGGCGATGAGGGACACGAAATGGGAAAATCAAATAAAGGTTTTATGGGTGGTATGAGTAAGGGATCCAAAAAATACGATGGAAATGAATGGGACAAAAAGGGAGGCGATTGGGGCAAAAATGGTCACAAAAAGTATGATATGGGAGATAAATGGGCTAATAAAAAGTGGGATAAAAAATCAATGGATCAGTTCGGCGATAAATGGTCAGACAATTCGGGTAARAAAGAGGCCGGCAAATTTGAGGAATGGGGMGATAATAAAAAATGGAAAACCGATAAGGGAAAGGTATGTTTGCATTGTTTTAATATAATAACTATAACTATAATACATAACTATTTTTTAAACAAATTCAAGGGTTACGAAAAGTCATACGAATACGACAAATCTGATGGAATGAAAACWTCATACGGAAAGAAAGGCAAAAATGAGCAAGGCAAATATGATAGCAAACATGGGTTAGTAATCAAACATTAGTATTTTTTATTTATTTATTTTATTTACCATGATAATATATATTTATTTAAAATTAAAATAAAACTAATTTTACTAATAATTTTAAGTGAGAAACACGGTTTCAATAAAAAAGATATGGGAGGTAAAGATGATTTCGGCAAAAAAGTCAATAATGGAAAATCTGTAAGCATTTTGTTGTTATTGTTGAAACAAACAAAATATATATATATAAAATAGTCTTATTTTCTATAAATTTAAATAATTGATTTATAAAACTATATATATATATATATAGGGTCAGAATGAATGGGGCAAACAGTACAAGACTGGCGGCAAAAACAATAAGGGAATGGATTTCTATGAGGTAAAGAAGCCGAGTTCGTGGAAGAACAGCAAATGGAATAAACAGCAAAAGAAGTCACCGCCACCTCCTCCCCCACCGGCGCCAAAAAAGTCATACGGAGGCGAAGCCGATGGTGGATATGAGGGCGAAGCCGCCGGCGGTTATCAGGCCGAGGGAGGCGCCGATATGGGTCAAGAATATGGTGGAGGAGAGACCTATGATATGCCAATACATGACGCCGATGGTGCCTATGACTTGGGTGGTGGCGCCGAACTAGCCTACGATGAATTAGGTGGTCATGTTTTGGGCAGCGGTAGACACGTAACCTTTGCCGACCTCAAGAGTCAGGGATATATTGTTATCGATCAAACCAAAGGTTAATTAATTAATTGATGGAAAACGTTAGGCGATGTCTGTCCACTAAATTTTCAGAAAATGTTGGATTAAAACTGCCTGAGCTCTCTCTCTGTCCTCTTTTGTAAATAAGTTTTTAAAAATAATTTATAAATACTTATTTTTAAGCAAATAATTCCTAACTGTAATACTATTTATTAATATTTATAATTAATTTATTTTTAAAAATTATTTTCTTTATATTTTTTTCATTAGTTATTTTAATATAAAAAAATAAAATTTCAAGTGATTTAAGAAATTTTTTAAATATTGTGTCAAAAAATTAATTTAAAACTAATACTATATATGAATATTAAAAATATATAACATTTTTTCGCAACATTTGGCCTAAAAATTTTTTTAAAAATATAGTGTACAAGAAATTCATTAAAAAATAATTGAAAAACATTATGTTGTTTAAAACAAAGACATTAGAAAATAAAATATACTAATTATTATTATTATTTTTAAATTTAAACAATAATTTAACATTATAGTGTATAGCGATGCAAATAATTTTAATAACTATGAAATATTATTATCCAATTTTTAAAATTGAAAGTAATTTATTATATAGTAATAAATGTTATTTAGATTATTTAAATACTTACATTTTTTTGTTAAAATTAAAAAATTGTTATGATGTAGCAAGTTTTGTACAAAAATTACAATAAAATATTTAAATTTTCTTTTAAATAAATACTATAATATTTACATGGCTTGACATTTATTAAATAACAATTTTTACAAATATATAAAAATTAATGTAACATAAAAAATACATTAAGAAAAATAAATAAATAAACTAAAATATAACATTTTTGTATGGATAAGTTTTCAATAAGAAAAAATTATATATAAAAGTCATAAAATGTTATTTAATGATATGATAAAAAATATTTGTCTAATTTTGGMTCATTTAAACCCAGTAATCCCTTACTATACACACCATTATCTCTTAATAATCACGGACTGGATAATCGTATTATCATTATTGCAATAATGTTTAACCAAATAGTACAGTATTTTGCAGTAAATTGATTTTAAGCAACATATCGGGTAAATAACTGTAACTGTAATCACATATTAAAACTAATTATAGTATTTTAGGACACAATCAATAGGCAATGTGTGTATGTTTAGTACAATAATTGTTAGATTATTTTTTTTAAATACCTAACTAAATATACCATTAAATAATATTAAAGATGATGTCTTTTTTATAGTTAGATTATCATTATATTATTATTACATAATAATAATAATAATAAGTTACCGATAAATGAAATTGGATAATACAGTATAGCATTTTTTATTTGCGATAAATTATTTACGGTAATTAATACAATATACAGTATAATCGCAATTTTAAATAAATATATAAATAAAATAAAATATTAGATAAAATAATGTTTTTATAAAATCATTACAATTAATATTATAATTAACACTTTTGTAACACATGTGTTGGTATTAAATAAATATTAAGACAATTGTTTAGTGTGTGTGTGTGGATCAACCATCACATGTCTGTCCATTCAAAGTCACATATACACAGACCCACTGGTCAGTCCTCACTGAAAAAACAGCCGATGATATAGTGGTCACTCATTGTTGGCCTTCAATTGGTTAAGTGTTTCATCGATACGCTGTTGGAGTTGTTGGTCATCATTAGTATTGTCCAATTGTTGGTCCCACTGGTCATCCCAATCGCCGTTGTTGTTGTCATTTTTCAGTGGCCAGTCCTCGACGGCAAACTCGGCAAACTCATCGGTGTCTTCAGCCAACAGTTGTTTCAAATCGATTTTCGGCCGAGACTTCGATAGTTTCGGTATTTTGAATGACTTGAAACCCGAGTTATTGTCGATATTCATGATTTGTGTCTCTGATGGCGRCACCGGTAGGTCACTAATGGACAGTTGTATTACAAATTTATATTTCTATCTCAAAATAATAAACTTTTTACAATAATTAACATACAATTAATGTCTAATTATAATAAAAAAGTATTTTTAAAACTATATTATTATTTAATAAAAATATTTTTATGATAATGTCTTTWAAGTCAATAATTTAATAATAATAATAATAATCTATTAATACTAAACATAAGTAACGTTATTAATTTTACAACAAAATAATTTATCAAGGTAATTTAATAGAGCGTAATTCAATTTTATCAATTTGATTTTTAATAAATGTAAAATACTCTGTATAATAAACACAAAACATTCAATATTAAAAAAAATATTTTATTTAAAAGCTTACGAATATTTGTCACTAGTAATAAAAAAAAATTTATTTTCTAAATATATATATATTAATAAATATTTCTATTGATTTGATTTTTTTAACGAATAATAAAAAATATAACAAAATTATTAATTGATAAAGTATTTTGAGTCAAAAAATATAAACTGTATATGAGTTAAACATGTTTTAATTAACAATATGATAAATTAATTGTTTTTTAATTTAAGCAAACAATATATAATATAATTATGGTAATGATTTATCAAAATCATTTATCAATATAACGRTATATCAAATATATATATATATAWGTTTTTCAAATTATATAAYAAYAYAAATATAATACAYAAWAATCACATTATTTGTTAACACTCGTAATACTTGTATTTTAAAATATACTTATGATATATATATTAAACTATCGGAAAATTTGTACAAATATGAAAATGAATGAATTATTTTAAAAATATATATAAATTATACCACAAAAGTATTGGCACTCAAGTTATTGATAATCTCACATATAGTATATCATATCACGGAATATTGTGTTTAGCTGACTGTCCCCTCTATTATCTACCCGATTGATGGTTCTCCGCGTATCCTTCGGGCCAAATGCATATCGCGAGGCATTACTGTTACTCGTTTGGCGTGAATAGCGCACAGATTGCTGTCTTCGAATAGTCCGACCAGATATGCTTCGGAAGCCTCCTGTAGTGCCAACAAAGCTGTCGACTGAAACCGAAAGCCGTCGATCACGTCCTGCATTATCTCGCGGACGAGCCGTTGAAAGGCCGCTCGTCTTATCAAATGATTGGTAGAGTTTTGGTATTTACGGATATCACGTAAGGCCCGTTCGCCCGGTCGGTAACGATAGTGACGATCGCCTGGTACTGGTCGCGGAGSTTTGGCTGTCGACTTGCGGGCCAATTGCAATCGGTTTCGGCTTTTGCGGCCAACGTTTCGCTGTTTAATACCACTYGATCCCTGAAAATGATTAAAACAATTWGTAATTAAAAAAATAAATAAAATAAYGTRTGATATGGACACTGACCACTGGTCAGTAGTGCTACACTTACCGAACTGGACGACTGTGACGATCGTTTGCTGGTCAACACACTCTCGTGTGGATTCGGGTATCGGTTCGGTCTGTGATTCTTTGTTCGGGCCATTGCTTCGACTAAATAATCTGGTGGTCAATGAAGTGGTCACTCAATGGTCAACACTATTATAACTGTTAGTTAACACTACTTATGAATTGAATGAATGAATGAATGAATGATTTSATTGACTGTAATATAAATATAGATAAAAATCGTTGAAATCATTTGCAAWTTGCAATACTTTTAAATTATGKGTCAAACATAACGTCAATATTTTTTAGCCCACAAACACAATAATAATGTTATTCAATGTATTTAATTGTAAATAAATCTAACGTTTTCTATGGTTATAACTTCAAAAAGAAATTATTAAATTTATTAAATATTTCAATTGATTGCATCATTTGATTGCAATATTATTGCAGTCTTTTAAATACTTGACTCTATTATAGTTTACTTATAATTTAAACTTTAAATTTTAAAGACTGTATTATAATAATAGACTATAAATTGGTTTTTTTGTTACAATTGAACCTAAATTTAAATGCGGGAATCACTTGAAACTGTGACTACAATTAACACTTTATAATATTGTTTTGACATTAAAATACAATATTTTTTAAATCTACATTTTTTGAGAAAAAGTTAATGATGTAAATTAAATTAAATAAGTTTTTATAATTTATTTTARTACTTAATTTAATAGACTATACAAAATAACTAAAACTGATAGTTTAATTTGACTATATATTAGTAATAGTTTTAATTAAAATATTAATTAATATTATACTTTTATTAGTCCCTTTATAATTGAAATATTGTCAAAATTAAGTTTGTTTTTTACGTTTTTTGTCATTCAATGGATCGGTATCTCTATGTCTAGACTTTCTCTTTGTTRTTGTCTTTGCTGTCACTTTCGTTGTCCGAGATTTAAATGCTTTCGTCTTTAGACTTGTTTTGTTTGATTTAGTTTTAGACGATTTAGTCTTAGAGTCAAACTTTTTAACCAAAGAATTTGAGACTAAACTTGTCTATAGGTTTGGGTTTTGGCGATAACTTTCTATATTGACTGTCTGTCAGTATTTTGGGTTCAGTTTTTATGGTCAAACGGTCCGAATTTAGTGATGGATCGGAAATAGTGGTCACTTTGACCTCCCATTCCTTGTCTGACTTTAGTCTCTGCTTATTTTTTTATCAGGCATTCAAAACAAATCAATCATCAAAACAATATATTAAATTAATATATCATATAATAAATAACCGATTGTTTCAAAACCAGTCTTTTATAATAATTGTATTGTTATGTGATTTATTAGTTATTAATAATATTATTAATTATTAATAATAAGTTATAATACTAAGAATTATTACAATACATTTCACGTGAACTTAAATTTAATAATTTAATARCAGTTATAAAACATATTTCAAAACAAATTATTTAACACAAAAAAAATTTCAGATAAACGGTCACAAAATCTCATTATTCTTTAGCCAATCATTTGCTGTAATTGAGAAAACATATCATATTTTAGAGATATATCAGTGAAATATTATTAGAAAAGTCGGAAAAACAAGTGAAATGTTTGCAGAAACTGAACAAATTTATCAGGATTTTGATTTCAATCACYTGACTTCAGGTGGTGTCGACACTGTTGACAATGACTGCAAATCTTTGTCGGACTCGACAGACACCACACCGACAGACAGTGTCAATCGCATTGATATGTTGCCGGAAGCAGTCAAACGAAGAGTCTATGCATTGAAAAAACTGAACGAACAGAAAAAGACTGTTGAGTTTCAGTTTGTCGAAGAGTTTCTCCAATTGATCAAAAAGTACGAACAGATGTACGAACCGTTTCACGAAAAACGAGCCCAAATCGTGTCGGGAAAATGCGATCAATTGGACGACTATTTTCTCGATGACTACAACAGCCAAGTCMTACACCAGACACAAGTCGCCGGAATTCCCGATTTTTGGCTAAAAGTTTTGTGCGCTTCGAAAGACTTTTCAAAACGCATTTTTGCTGAAGATTTGCCAGTACTCAGACATTTGATGGACATTCGGGTGACAACCGAACCACAGGAGCGAAAGTTTTCGCTAGAGTTTTACTTCTCACCCAACGAGTACTTCACCAACGATGTCATCTGCAAAGACTTCTACCTGAAGATCGATCTGCAACAGACAGATCTGTGTCGTCCGTTGAAAGTTGTGTCCACTGATATCGAGTGGAAAGACGGCAAATGTATTCCGTATGACAAAGTTATCGACCAAAATACTGGTCAAGAGGTGTATAACTATTATGACTCGTTCTTCGACTATTTTTGGACATCAAATGAAGATATAGAGGACTACGAGTGTCTTGAATACGACTGGAATGTGTCAMGAGATCTAATACAAGAGTTGGTGCCAAATGCTGTCAACTATTTTACTGGTCATCTCTTCATTGGCGAACATTGCGAGAAATGCATTGCTGTTGTCAATGAACACAACGAAGAACTCGTTGAAAATCAATACAATTATGAAGACAATCAAAGCGATGATAATGGCTATTATGGTGAAGAAGACATCAATCAAGAGGTCGTGGAAGACGAAGAAAGAGATGAAGAAGAGGAGGAGAAAGATGTGAATGAAGATCAAGACTCACAAGAAATACATTCACAAAGTTATGAATGATTAATGAGATGTCGACAAAAGTTTTTTAGAGTTTTTTCTATACTCTATATTTGTAGTTAAAAAATGCAAAATTTTATTCAAATTAATTGTATTTATTTTGCATAGAAAATAAAAATGAATCAAATATTCAATTAATATTAAATTCAATGCAATTCAATATATTATTTTAATAAATTTTTAGAATATTGAATCTATTTTAAATCAATACTATAAAACATTATTTTCAAGTTTATATTTTGATTATTTAAATAGTTTATTATTTAATAATAATCCTATGCTATAAATTATTTTGATATCTATGGAAATATAACTAATTTGATATTTCTAATTTCCGGCTGTAGATTACTATAATTAAAACGTAACTAATAGTTATAATTTTCAAAAAATATAATTTATAAAAAAAATTATTTATTTATTTTATGAGTAATACACGTTTCATATGAAAATAGCTTTAATAAAAAATTATTTCAGCATAAAAGTAATATTAGGCTTTATTTATATTTATACAGTATATTGTTCTGTACTTATCTTTAATAGTCAGCAAGGTTAACTAAACAATGTTTACCTAAACAATAATAAATATTAAATTTAACTACACAAATACAAGAATCATTTTATAATAATWATTATTTTTTATTACAAATATAAAAAATATTATAAACTTTATTTTTTGTTTATTTATAATTTGTAAAGTTTATAAACTTATTAAATAACCTGACCATACCTTTATTGATAATGAAAATATAATAACAATGTTTGATAAAAAATAAATAAATTCAATTAACGTATGAATTGTCGCTTCCAATAGTTACCTAATCTCCAGTATTTGAGTTAAAATAAATTTTATTAACATTTAGTTGTGACATATTATTAGTATATCTGCAGATATTTGACGCTATTATTCACAGTATTTATACTTTAATTTTATTACAACTTTTTATTTCACTCTTTTGTATTCAACTAATATATTATACTAAAAAAATATTTTAATGCAATCTATAACTTAATAATTACTAAACTCCATGTCATAGTTGTAGATAATAACTTTTTTTTTGTTAAACTACTTAAAKTATAAATAATATTTATTATTTTATTTTATTTTTGGTGAGCACTGTATATTAATAAATAGTGAAGTGATGGGTCAGTATACCAGTGATACTAAAACATCTAACCGTACTTTTAATGTAACCAAATATGTGTTAATATTGTTTATTGTATTGAACATTGGATCGTCAATATGGGTCGGTATATATAATAAGATGCGCGTCGATCATATGAGACGTGAATTTCCTGATGACCGGTGGACAGGTGACTATGGGAAGGGTCACAGCGCCCAACTATGGGAGAAGCTGTGCATCACATTTCTAGTGTTTGAAAACATATTCAATGTTATGGGTATTGTAGGCACACTTCAGGAAAACTATTGTCTGTCAATAATGTTCAGTGGTGTCATGTTTTTGAGTGCTCTGTACGGCTCCGCAGGAAAGTTCATACGCGGAAGTGTCTGTTCATATTTGATGCCACTCCTGGTTGGTATCATAGCTGCCGTTTACGCCCATCAGATACGTATGCAAAACTATCGTTTAAACAATCGGCTAACGTCTACCCGAACTACCGAACCCAAGTCGCCAACATTGTTACCTCAAGTCAATCCCGAGGCGATCTATTCGGTTCCCAATAAATCGGCTAAACAGCCGAAGCCGTCGTCGCGCACGTCGTCCTCGCGAACACCGCCGCCGCCCACTAAACCAAAACCGTCGCCGCCGTCCAACCCATTGATCAGCAATAATAATAACCGTTCGTTTGAACGAAAATATTCACAACACTCGGGAAATGGCGAGGAAAGGATATATATGAATGGATCGGTCATTAATAATCATAACACCCGAGTCTATGTCCCCACAACTGAAGTTTAACATACCATACCTRGAAGTCTACATTTGTAATRTGTTTAACCTCACTAATCAATCGTCAATTTCATAATGCATTTACATTTTTTAATTAAATTATTTAATTTTCTTTGAAAATAAATTGTTTTTATATTTATGATATCAAASATTTTACATTTATAKTTTATTTTATTGCTGTGGTGTAATTTTTATTATAAATTATTATAATTACTTAAATAAACTAATTGTCATTAATATAAAAAAATATTTCAAGTTAAATAAAATATATACTGTATAAATCAAACTATCAAYAATAGTCTGTTGAACGTATATTATATAATATACTATATTATTTAAGTCAAATAATTATGTATTAATTATGCTATTTATGATTGTTTTTTAAAATTTTTTTAAGTAATAAGAAAATCCATATTGCAATAATAATTGTTATAATAAGTATTGTCACAAATTATATTATGAAATATTATATTATCTTAAAAATGTTGTACATTATAAACTGATAGTTGTTATTGTATGTTATTGTACTAAAATATATATATATATATAATAATATAAAGAAATTATAATGGATATTTTGTACATATAAATAAAAAATTGAAAATTTTACAATTTATATTATTTTTGTACCAAATTTATGTACTAACAAATAAAAGCGAAAATATTTTACAATTATCTAAAAATATAAAATAAAAATATTAATTKTATTTAATATCATATATTTAATCAACTGATATCATTATACCTGAAAAAATAATATAAATGTCAAGACATTAGTAGTCGGACCTAAAGTTATACCGATTTTACGATTACTCGATAGGCGTTCAAAATAAGCCATTAGTTGGAGTTTGAATCGCAACCGAAACGGATATCCATTGATACGCCACTGAAGTCGTGATAATGATAAACACGTGCTGTGGATATCACGCGAGAGACGTGCAAACAAGTATTGAATAATAAATATGACTAACAATGTTAGGAATATAGATAATGCAAAAAATATTTGAACATCATAATTTAGGGGTACAAATAAAAATTGATGAACTAGTAGTARATTTATAGGTAATAATTCAATAATCATTTCTAAATATAATTTGGACCAAAACTTGTTTTGTTTAAAAAAATTTAAACAAAATATATTGTGATCTCTCATAAATTTATTTACATTTCTATACTTAATGTTCATATTATTATATAAATGTAAATTTTTTATGTTAATCAATTGAATTATTATTGTATTTATTTGTTTTATAATTAATGTATCCACTTTATTTATTATAAATAAAGTTGTTAAACTAAATAGACYGTCATTGCATAACATATAAAATGGTATTAATTGTAATAATTGCCAAACAAGTGATTTACAAAATGTTTCAAATGTATARAACCTAATAATAATTGATATCCATAAAAGTGATATTGAAAAATCTGTTTGTAAAATAATTAATTAAATTTTTTTAATTAAAAATATTTTATTTTATCATATAKATCATTAAAGCACATTAAAAACTAAATTATACTTACAATAAAATACAAAAATAATAGAAAAAACGATACAAATTGATTTAGTATATGATCTAGTTTTMAAAAATAATAGCAAACTATTTTTAATGCCTTTAATCAAATTATGACCATGGTTAGTATTATGTCCTCTRATTATATCAATAGATATGCGCCAGGTTAGATTTTTAGTAGACAAATGATATTGCTTAAACATATTACAAAAAAATGTGGTACCCAAAATTATTATTAAATTATTGTATTGATGAATGCCACCAAAAAAATGAGAAAAGTCAAACAATATTATTTCTATGTTTTCATTATTATTATAACTTAATAAATATATAGATTTGATGATTGTTATCATAAAAGTACCATACACAAAATATTCAATATAAGTATTACGATAATTATATTCAATTTTGTTGCGAAACWTATTTAAATAATAGTCAATMAGTTTATAATAATTAATTTTWTCCATTATTATTGTTATTCATTAATTGTATTGATTATTAAAAATATTCTATTAATATGTTTGTAGTTTTTAAATAATATTTAAAAATATTAAGTTAGATATCTTATATAACATATAACAAAATAGAGATAACTATGTATTTTGATGATATTTAAACAGTAATATTATTATATTTATATAAGTTTTTAACAGTATTTTCTATTTATAATTATAAATGTATTTACATTTTTAAAAATATATTAATGTTTATATTGTAGATAAGTAAAAAATACAATATTTACATAATTATAAACACGCAATATTTATCTAATAATATCATTTACWATACAACATTATAACATCATTTATAAAATACTGAAATCATAAAAAATATTTTTTATATATATAATGCTATTTAAAGATTTTTTATATAATTAAATACAAACAACAAAAACAAAATTCAATGTAAAATATAATTAGTAAATAATTTTAATTAATGTAAAACATTGTGTTTTTTCACATAAGCTTTATATGCGATATCTTTGAGGTGTTGTTCCATATCTTTTCCGGTACTTTCGAGCATCTGTGCAAATATGCCGTCCCTATCCTTTGATAGTATATATGGTGAATCAAACTGTGCAATCACTCCGGCATCTAATACCAGACATTTATCATAATCCATGATTGTATTCAATCTGTGAGCTATTGTTAAGACAGTACAGTCAGTAAATGACTTTCTAATTGTTTCTTGAATTAGAGCATCGGTTCTGAGATAATAAAAAAATATTTTTATATTTCAAAAAATAAATGACTAGTTTTAGAGTATTATAAAACTATTATAAAAATAATTATTATAGACATACCTGGGATCACAATTGGCAGTTGCTTCGTCTAACACCAGTATCTTATTATTTCTGAGTATAGCTCTGGCCATACAAATCAATTGTTTCTGTCCCACACTGAAWGTACCGGCGCTCTCACTCATCAATTGATCCAACTTTTGTGGAAACGCAGTGACTGTYGACTTGAGCTCAACTTTGGCCAAYGCCTCCCAAATTAAGGCATCACTACATTCGCCAAATGGATCCAAATTCTTGCGTATGGTTTCAGTGAAAACAATCGGTTCCTGAGGTATGATCGATACAATACGTCGTAACGCACTCAGGCTTATCGCTGAAGTATCGATGCCATCGATTTGTATCAAACCAGTTGGTGGTGTCATACGAAACAATGTCGTTATTATCGATGACTTTCCKGCACCGGTTCGACCAACTATTCCAACTGTTTCACCACTTTTGATGACTAAATTCAAATTATGCAAAACTGGATTATCGTTGCCTTCATACTGGAGGCTAACGTCTCTCATAATAATTTCTCCCTTTTGTGGCCAACCTATTAATAAAAATTATAATTTTATCAATAAATTTAYCCAAAATATATATACTATCTATACTTTGAATGACTAACCTTCAGGTGGTTGTACTCCACTATCTAATTCTCTGTCGATTTTCTTCATTTCATTTACTCTTTCAACWGAAGTCATATAAGTCTCGACTTCAGCGCCCAGACGTATACCCCAACTGAAGTATGTGGTCAATGAAAACGCTTGCGATAGAGTCAGACCAATGACACTACTGTCAAAAGTGCCGAGATTTGCTACCATTAAAATGGTCAGCGCTATAATATAGACTATAGATAGCTCATCCAGTATTATACCAAACCATCGGGTGCAAACCATTGACATGAAATACGTGTTGGTRTGTGTGTCYTGAACTGAATTAAATTTTTTCGAGAAATCCATTTCCCGGCCAAACGCCCGAATAGTTGTCAATCCGTTTATAGTTGACGTCAAATGACTGAACACTGGGCTCCGGGCTTTGGCCTCAACTGTTCTTGTTTTTCTAATGGTATTCAATGCAAATTTAATGACAAGAAAATTTGAAATAAATAAAAAAGCAGTCGGTATGATAACCCATGGATTAACAATAGCGCACAGTATGAAAACAGCCATACAGTCCAATAGTATCTCCAGTGCATCAAATGCAGAGGTCGGCAGTATATCATCGATAATACCTACGGATAGGAAATAATTATCAAAATTAATCACACATTGAAAWTACAATTATCAGTAAATACAGACCTAAGTCACGGGACACTCTATTGATTATCATTCCGATTGGATATTTGTCAAAGAAAGCTACCGGTGCTCTCAAAACAGACTCCAAYAGTTTATTGTGTAAGTTAACGGAAGATCGCATACATATAACAAAAAATATGACTGTCTTTGAGATTGAAAATATAAAAATAAGTGCCACAAATAAAGAATAGATAATAATGTTTGTATTCATGTCTTCCGATACCATCCAACTGCGCTCAACTGGTCCGTCAACTATATGTTTGCGYTCCAGATATCCTGTCCATTGAGACAACCAATAGTCACTTCCTGTGAACAGCGATTGTGTGATAATRTTTGACAAGAAAAACGCCGGAATCAATATAATGCCGGCACCGGCTCTCATGTATGTCCAGTAGACTTTGGTCGACACTACTTCTGGGTTATTTGGATCACTGATWATGTCTTCAGATTTGTCTCCATATTTTTGAATACCTCTCTCGTCATAAACTTCTTCATCGGKAAATGAATGATGAGATGAGTCGTGAGATAACAGAGAAATGTGTGACAATTGAGACAGAGATGACGTGCGACTCGTTATCATATCAGATATATGTTTGGATTTGTCATCTCTTTGTAGATCCGAATTACCCGCATATTTGATTAAATCTAAACCTTTGTTTAGAAGTTGTGTATAACTACCCGAAGCAATACATTTACCGTCATTGAGGACCACTATCTGATCGGCGGCTTTAATAAACTGCAATTGATGTGTCACTAATACAACACAATGTCTTTTTAGATATCCTTTAATGCATTTTTCAAATATATGTTTGGCTACTGAAGAGTCGACTGCCGATAATGGGTCGTCCAATAAGAAACAGTCGGCACCGGAGTATAAAGTTCGGGCTAAACTAACCCGAGCTCGTTGTCCACCACTAAGACTGACACCTCGTTCGCCGACAAATGTTTGGTCACCGAATGGTAATTGCTTTAAGTCATCGTCGAGAGCACAGACGTGGACTATCTGTCGGTATTTTCGTTCATCAAATGTCTGTCCAAATAATATATTATCTTTGACTGTTCCGCCAAAAATCCACGACTCTTGACTTGCGTAACCCAACCGTCCCCTAACGGATACAGTTCCCGAACTTAAATTTAGCTCTTTGAGTAATGCCATCAAAACTGCTGTCTTTCCCGAACCCACTGAACCAATAATGACAGTCAACTCTCCCGGTTTGACATCAAATGAGATGTCATCTAAAATGCTAATAATTTTGCCTTCGTTTTCACTATGATTTGCACAAATATTTTCCACTGATATATGGTTTTCACTTTCATCAGTGATAACCATTTTCTTTAATTCATTGAAAGATTTTTTATAYGGATCCTAAAATAATGTATAAGTAATTGATTTTATTATAATCAAAACATTATTATTAAATKGTTATGTAKTAACTGAGTTATCTATAATATTGTAGTGTATTTACCGTAAGTATAGTTAATGTAAGAAACACTTACCGGTACTTCACTATTGGTAAGCAGTRAATGATGTGTTGATTGAAACTCATTTAATAACAAAAATTTCTGTTTCATTAAAATTKATAAAAGTTTTTTAAAAAAAAAAAGATTATTACTATTATTTTCCAGTGTTTAATGTTAACGATATAATAAACAACAAAAATAAAACCTCAATCCTATGTACAGACACCAGTGTTTCGGCACCCAATGATATACTGTATGGAAAATATTGAGTCATAATTCTTCTTAAAAGGTTAACCAGACCTATGGTTACGAAAACGTTTTCGGCATTCAATTGATTGTTTGTTARTATGAAAATCAGTAAACATAGAAATGTCATCACTTTTCCCGATACATAAAACAATGATAGATTGAATGCYCTGATATTCATAACTTTATGTATGGCCTGTATTTCCCTGACTCGTGACAACTCAATCAACTTTCCGAACGGTTTCTCCCAGACATACATTTTGATGACACGCATAGCAGGTATGATCTCATTCATCAGTTTAAGCCGATTGTCGGTTAAGACCATAATTTTAGTCCGGAGTCGCGAAAACAGCGGTCCCATCATTGTTTGAAACGGTGTGTAGACAGCCATAAATGCCAAACCAGCCAAACATGACATTTGTAATTCATACCATAAAAATCCAAATATACAGACCATAAGCACGGGTCCGGTTATTGCAAAGTGTATATATAGTATCATTGTATCAAACTTATAGCAATCGGTAGATAATAGGTTGACTATTGTGCCGATAGTGGTTGTTCTCAATGCACTGTTCGACACTCTAAGGGCTTTGTTGTATATGAGATAATTGGTGGCCAATCGTATTTGCATACCTAACCGGGTTTTGAGAAAAAAATACGGGTGCGATGTCACACATGCTATAGCCTGGACTATACAWATACTGACTGCACTATAGTAAATGTAGGCCCGATTTGAGTGCCAACCAAATTCTTCATCATTACTATCMATTTCTTTGCTTTTTTGCCATTTATCGAGATATTTGATGAGAAAACTCATTGCAACCAATGGTAATATTCTTAACACACAATCCTATTAATGAAAAAATATTAATTTTATTAAAATATTGAATTGATATAATTGTTATACTTTTGTTTGTATTGTATTTGTAGAGGTATTTTCATTACATAATTATAATTTTGTAGTTTTGTTTGATTAACTACAGTAATAAAAAACTACTAATAAAAGTAATTTAATGTTTTAGTAGAGTACTTATTATAATATTTTAYTSAATAATTAAAATATTTATRTACAGTAMAKKATTATATATCAAATTTTTAAAAATTGTTGTAAACTTCAAAAGTTAATATCAGATATCAAATAATTAAAATTAATAATTGAAAATTTATTAAAAGTCAAAACAATTAAATTCATTTATAATGTAATTTATTGAAAAAGTAAAAAAACTTACGACAAATATATTACATAAAGTAAATAAACCAAAATCTAATCCATAAGCTCTGATATATGCTTTCAATAGACTTGGTTTGTGTCCCAACTCCCGTTTCTTGAGCTCCATTTCCCAAAATCTATAAGATTTATATATATATTATGATATATATATAACTATTATAATCTATTTGTAAATACAAAACAATTACTTTAGCAGTCGATTGCCCAACACATCCGATTTGTCAGTTTTGGAGCACTGGTAACAATCGGTAGTTTCAATTGGTTTGCCATAAAATTTGAGAAAAAATGGTAACGTAAACCTTTCAAAAAAATAGACATCAATTACTTAATATTAAAATAAAATTATAGATAAAAAAATATTTATTAACAAAAATTATAATTTACCAAAATTGAACTTTTGAGAAAAAGTTAGCATKATCAAAACATGGACATTTATAATTGTCTGTTTTAGATATTTTCATTATATTACAACAATTATTWAGTTGTTGTTAAGCTATAAATATATTTTGTAATTATATTTTTTTAATGCTAAATAATAACAGTTTTGTTGAATTATATACTGCAWTTTTTWWATTTTTTTTAATTRTGTGCATTAAATATAATAATAAAAATAATTTGATAATCTAATTAATAAAACARTTTTTTGATAATTGTAATTGTTTGGTAAAGTTTTGTACTTTTATCYTAATTAAGACATTATAAATTTTATTAGCCAAAAATGTATGACTTGTTTGATACTAAAGYATAATGAAAATTTTTATATTATAATTGCAAATATCTTTAAATTATAATTGAAAATASTTTTATAATATTGYATGCAAAAAAATGTTGCTTATAATGTATATTAAATTMAATAAAWCAAAATKTTAATTAATTTAGTTTTAAAATTATTTTTAAATAATATTATTTGCTATGTCTTGACAAAACAAAACAAATTAAATTAAAAACTTGTTAATTAGATTTGCAATAATTATATCATTAGTTTTATTTTATTAGTAATTATTATCAACTAATTTTATGAATCTATAAAACTAGTTCATTATGTAAGTGAATGATAGATGTAAACTATAAAACAATAAAATAATATATTATACAAACATTTTTTAAAACTATATAAAGTATAGCCGAAATATTGTTTTCATAAATATTGTAAAAATATCACTTATTTTTACTATTATTAAACATTTTATTTTAACTTTTCTACTTGATACTTAAATCAATACAATGTCTTAAATATTACTTTAAATATAACCTATTTTTATGTTAATTTCAATATATTAAATATAAACTTATTTCATGTATTTTCCAATTATCTTTTATATTATCAATTATATTATCTTTATATTTCCTATATATTCTCTTAAATTTATATACAAATGTAGTTCATTAGCTTGTTAAATTCTAAAAAAATTTATTTCTCAAAAAAATACCCATGATAATTTATTCAAATATTTATCAAAATACTCATCAAAGTATGGCATTTAAGTTGTTAAACTTATTTTTTAGTAATCAAACAAATAATGATTAAAATACATTATCATTAGTAAAGCGAGTGGCCATTGACGGCTTATAATAAAAATGATCAATAAGTTAAAATAAGTTAAATTATATCACTTATAAAAATAATTAAAAAATAAAAATTAATTAATTAAATGCCATATTTTTACGAGTATTTTGATAAATATTTGAATAAATTATCATTATAATGAATTGTTTTGTTTTGAAATGTTTATGAGAAATCAAATTTTTATAATTTAATAAGCCGAAGAACCACTTTGTAATAATATATTTTAATTGTGATATTTCAAATTTTTGTTAAATATCAAAATACACCATAAAATCTAATAAATATAAAAATTAATTTAGATTAAATAAACTAATAAGTGATTAGATAATGTTTAGTGAGATAAACTGTATACAAAAAATTGTTTGAACCAAAATTATGGACATCSAGACCAYAACACAGAACCAGAATATAAAGATTATGATAAAACAATGGCTTACCTGATAGGGTGTGTATGAGCACAGTTGGATCATTTSGGACATTCAACTGCTGATCTCAGAGTTTGGTAGCATATTGTTGTGTATGTGGTTAGGACTACMAATAATTGTTTTRTTTTAACAAATTATTATATATATCTTAATTAAATTTAAAGTTCATAAATTTCACTATACTGTACATTAAACTAAACTAAATTTAATGTAATTTTTTTWAACTTAYGACTTAAATAATATTATAATTATAAAATAATTTTAGTATCACTGCATTAAAAAAATAGAAAATATACAGATCTATAGTTTATTATCAATAAACTGTATTTATTTAAGACAAATAAAAATAATTGTTTATTCAATATAATCAATCAATATATATAAGCCATCACTTATAGCCATCACTTKATATATAGATCTAACTTTCCTTAAAAATCATAAAATCTGATGATTAGTCTACAAAAGGTATGACATAATTGCCATATTTGGCATTAATATCGGCCATCATTTTAGACCTCAACAGTGTCTTCAACTCTTTTTTCTGATWACTATTGTTCTCGTCTTTATTGACCAATAGTTTTAGCAATTTTTTCTTTTGTTGTCTTTTGTCATAAAGATATTGAATATAAATGTTGTCGTCTTTAATACTTCTCTCTACTCTACGAATGGTCTCCCGATGAATGTCTTTATGAATATCGGCCCCAAACTCATCGCAAATCTTTGTAAACAGTTGTCGACATACCGGACACGTCCGTTGGCTATCTGTCCATCGGAGCAAACATTTGCGACAAAACTCGTGTCCACAGCTGTCGAGTCGGCACTTCTTTTCAATGGTCGACAAACATATGGGACAATCGACCTTTGATTTACTACCTGTGCTTTTGTCGACCCGTTTTTTCACCGTAAACTTGTTTCCCATTTTTTCTGTTTGCCGTTTGATATATAAATTTTATCATTATTTTTRAAATTATTTTTGTAAATCTCGTGTTTTTCGGATTTTGTTGTTTTTTGTCAAAAAAAGTTACAACAAAATAATTAAAATTAAAATTTATGAAAAAAAAATAATAGTAATATATTAATTAATCTCAATAAAAATTTGTTTAGAAAATAATTTGYATGAAATCATCATGCTTATTTTTCTATTATCAAGTAATTTATTAATATTTAAAACAATAAAAAAAATAATTATTTTATTTGCCGTATAATTTATACAAACTAAATACATGTACATTGTTATAGATATTATATTTTTTAYAACTATAAGTTAGATAATAATATTGCACGTATCACGCGCTCATTTAATGTACAAATATATATGATAATTAKYGCACGTGTGTCTGTTTGTGTAAAAATAATTTAACARTTTGTTTATATTATAATATAAATTGATATTTTAATAATCACTAATACAGTATTAAATAGAGTTGACTGTATTATATGTAATCAATGTATTCGTATAGCAATAACACATAGAAAACATAAATACAGTTTAGACTCTCTCTTATTGTTTAATAACACAAACACATAGATTGAGTGCTATTTATTGGTTGACTGAATGAATGGTTCAGTGAATGCCAACTAATATATTGTAAATGTTTTCACATATCAAATGAAATCACAAATGATTTGTTTGTTTTGATTGATTGACACAACAATCACAACATAAACACTCAAAAATCGTGTCCAAAATGGTCACCAAAACGGGTCAATCGGTACGGTAGAGGCGGCAGCCGACCGACCGACCGAYAGGATCACTGCCATCATTGTCGACACAACAGCAATGAGTGGTCCAATAGACTCATCAAACGCTGAGACAATTATCTTGCATTTGATTGTCGTCGGCTTTCACCACAAAAAGGGATGTCTGGTAAGTGTCMGACCACTTGTTGGTCATTTAATTATCAACTGATTTTAATCATTTARTGTTTCGTTAGGTCGAGTATTGTTATCCGCCGTTAAGACATGCCGGTGATGGCCAACATACGGGTACTATCACCGSCGATACGACAAYACCGACGACCGTMGYTACCGATAGYGAGACAATAGTGTTACCACATCAATGGAAAACGTTGCCATCGCTGGCACTGCCCGACGGGTCACAYAATCACGAGAGAGACGCCATTTACTTTCATTTGCCAGACTTTATGGACCAAAATCGTACCGTATTTGGTGTTTCMTGTTATCGACAGATCAACGCTAATGTAAGGCTGACTCACACTTGACAGGTGTACTCACAAAGTCTTGTAATGATTTATATCTCATCTAAACTATCATTTAGTTTGAAACCCATTTCTCTATCCATTTACTTATAGATATAATATAATATATTTTTTCTAAATAGTGATAACAATTTTAATTACCGCTAAACATGTTTTTTWWAATTTTAATWTAGATACTGAAAAGCAAGTCATCGGACATAACTCGAGGCTCTGTCCAAAAATCGGTAGTTATTTTGTCACGACTACCKCTKTATGGCCTGATTGAGGCCAAACTCGAAATGATAACTCACGCCTACTTTCGTGAGCTGGACTTCAGTAAAATMGGACTCCTGGAAGAAACATACCATAATCTGAACGCACAGCTCGACACGGGTTTAATGCAATCACCAGAACTATATGTTGGACTCACTCCTCGACAACTGGTCATTGATTTTCATCACAAAATTGTTGTTTTATTTAAACTGTTATTATTGGAGCGCAAAGTACTCTTTTATAAGTCACCGGTCAAACCACTTTGTGTGGCCATACTATCCCTGTGTTCGCTAATGCCCGGACTCATATCGAAAGGACTGACCAACTGTTCGGTGTCCGTACAGCCCAAACAAAACCGGCAGTCGTCAGCCGACGTAGAACTGGTTAACAATACTAGTGATGAATTTTTGGAGTTAACTACTAATTCTCCACTAAAACGAAACATTAATGTCAACAATATTGCCGGTGCGTCAACAGTATCAGTAGTTGCCAGTAATGAATGTGATAGTACTGTCATTTCAGAACCAGTAGCTAATGTAATAGAAAAATGCAGTGATATAAACAACTCTTATGACAWMCTACAACATCAACAACAATCTATGGTCACAGATATGGATGATTCGGACGACGAGTTACTCAAAGAGATAGATAAAGCACTGAGCGATAAGTCGTCGTCAAACAAGTCGTCTCCAGCTAARGATGAGCACAGGGAGGCAAACAAATCACAGTCGATATTCTATGATCTAGAAGAGCCCAAACCGGAACGTGTGGACAAAATTGACGAGTCGTCTAAAYCAATAGAAAGAATGGAAACGCCGCCAATACTCAAGTTGTCTGACACTGATTGTGGACTACCTCTTGAGATATTTAGTTGCGGCTCATATTTGCTGCCATATCTGTCTCTAACTTATTTGGATGTWTTGACTGACGTCCGTATCCGTAGCTGTTTGATTGGTGCCACAAATTTTCTTTTCAAACAAAAGAGAGACATTTTTGATGTGATTGTTGAAGTAATTATCTTTTATTTTTATATAAATCCTACAGTAATTTTGAGTATTTTTTATATAATCAGTGAAYMGTTAGATTAATGGTTGATTGCATTGTTATATAATATAAATTTTTATTGATTTRCACAGTTGGACGGCGCMAAAGTTGAGATATTGGACCCGGATTTGCGCAAACAGTTGACTTTRACCACCGAAGATCTACGTTTTGCTGATTTTCTGGTCAAAACGGTATTAAATGACTGCGACAATAATGGGAAAATAGTGACATCTTTATCGAAGGCACCGGTTGGGAGGGTAGCGATGAGTGGATTAGATACCAGTTTAAAATTTATTTACTTCATTTGTTAAGGTCATCGGAAATGGACGGTTAGTTTTAATTATAKTCTAATTAATATATTATTTTTGTGTTATTATTGGTATAATAATAATTAATAACATTTCTATGATTTATCAGAAAACTCTAAAGATTACACCAGTTTTAACAGTAATTTTTTAAGCGCCTGGCGTTCGACACACAACTACAAAATCTGGAGTTCCGTTTCCCATTCGGCTGTGTTTGAGGTGCCCTCCGGTCATCCGTTTGGCGGACAACTGAGTGTTAACGATATGAAACTCAGACTATCGCAGTATGTTTTTTAAATAGATTTGAATAATTCATAAATTGTTTGACAGAAATACTAAAACATGTTTTGTTTCATATAATTGAAGGATATTTTATTCAAAGACTGAACAAAACAAACGACTGAACCAAACAGTTCAGCGAACTTCCCGTGCGATGGGCGGCGCCGTCACTTCAGCCAAGACTGCCATCAGTTCTGCAGTGAACTCATTTTGGAGCAATTGGTCGCAGACTAAGACCAACAACACTGATAGCGCTTCCGACAGTATCGGTAACAGTGATAGTGATCAACAAAACAACTCCAAGAGGCCCGAAGCTGAGACACAACTTTAATGAGCAAATTGTTTGTTACAAATTGATTAATTAAAAAAAATTGTGTAATATTTAAACCAAATATTTTATTAGTTTTAATATACGGTAATTTATTYAACAAATTATAATAATAAAATTATTTTGTTAGTACACTATACCATTATTATATATTATATATATATATAATTTATGGTATATATTATACACACAAACAATTGAATTGTTATAACCAGAAATATACAGTTTTGTGATTTATAATTCCAATATAAAACATGTCTTTATTTCCGTTAATAATTTTTTAATAGTCAAATATTATTAATTGTGATTTTTTATTTTTATTATACAGTTTACAAACTTGCAATATGTTTGTACTTGTGATGTGGTTTTATAAAAAGTTTTTAATTATTTTTAGTTTTATTAATGAATTGAAAAAACGATAATATTTTAAGTGATAAAATCATGACACATTTATAACATATTATGTTTTTATAATATAAGTTTATTAAATCTATTAATAGGTAAATATTTATTTTGTTAATTTTATTCGATTGAATTTATAAATAAAATTAATTTATGTGATTTTTAAAATATAACATTATGTGATTCTTTAATAAATTAAGTAAAATGGTTTTAATTTATATTGTTATCAATCGATAGCGTATTTTMCAAACAAAAAAATATAATTATTTTATATATGATACGCGATTAATAAAACTAAAAATAATAAAAATTTAAAATATAACCAAGTATGATTTTGTTAATTTTACAAGGTTAAAAATAAATTAGAACGAATMATAAAATTTCAATCTTAATTGTTTTCTGTAATTTGTTGTTTTCTAGTAAAAACCCGATYCTATGATAATATTATTAATCAATATTTTTTGCTAATACATAGTGTTTTTGTCAATAATTTAATATATTTTTTAATATAATGTTTAAATTCATAATCATTTTGAATTTAGAAATGATTTTAAGTTAAACTATAATATTTTTTKTTTTATTAGTAATAAACTCAATAATATTTGCAAATAAATATACCGTATATATAATTTTGCATGKTTGCGATAAGGGGTAGGGGGTAAGTCATCTTAACCCTCCTGAGAAAGTTTTTTTATTTTACCCCCTCCYAGACCTAAAGCCAAAAAGTTAAGGGGTTCCTACAAATTTAGAATTAGATTCTTATTATTTAAATTACTATTTTATTTTTTATAACGTATTAATAAATTCAAAATCATTAATTTTTATATTACCAAAATTTACTGTTCTATTGTATTATAATTTTAAAAGTTAAAGAAATAATTATTGTWGTYGTTTTTAGYTTTTTWTAATGCAAAAACTATTGTAAAAATAAATATTATTGTTTGAGTGTATATTTTGAGTATTAAGGAATTGAGTTGTTAGGGAATTTATAGGGAATTTATAGGGAATTTATAGGGAATTTATAGGGAATTTACTAMAATTTTGTAAAAAAAWTGTTTWAAAATTCAATAAAAACTTTACACCCATTATATCCCYTAGGTTTATCGAGATTTTTACAATTTTACCCCCTATACCTCCCGSTTTGTAGAAAATACTTTTCTTATCACTTTATATTATATATTAATTWKATATATTTATCAAAATWATATTTATGATAATGAAATTAAAATAAAAAAYTCTTATCATAATATTTATTGAAAACTATTTATTAAAAATCATCAAAAAAAWTYCTATTATTTATGTAAAATATATTTATAAGGYTAAAAAACTAGGTTAAACAATATTATRGACAATTTACTACTGTATATTTCATATAAAATATATACAGAAAATCTAGAAATAYAATTATTTACACTTTWTTATTATAGTWTTTTCATTGTCTTTTTTTTGGTTAAACTTTTTTTTACCGATAATATATTTTTTATAATAAAAATTGTTTTATTTAACTTTAAAATTAATAAACTATTAATATTATWTTAATTTTTTTMGAAATTGAATTTTACTTTAAATCTAATTGTCATCATTTATCTGGTGAATGACGTGTGCTATTTGTCGCTTAAATACTCAATAAATAAAATGAATTAATAATAAGTGTAATGCACTTAACTCTCTAACCATTTATTTGATTGTTTGAATTGTTGTACTGTATGTGATATTGACATAAATTTTTATTTATTTTTTTATTAAATAATTTATATAATTAATATTAATGAAATAAAATTTTTGCATATAAATAAAATATTTTTGTTTAATAGTTAAATAAATGGATGAATAAATTAATAAGATGAAATATATTTCAATATTAATTCATTCAATTGAAATAATTGTGAACATATATTTTAAAAGAGTAAAATATTTAGATATACAGTATATACTGTATATATAAATCATTCAATTAAATTATTATATAATAAATTTTTATGCTAATATATAGATTTTTGTGAATACGATGATATTATTTATAATAATTATTTTATATTTATTTAACATAAAATTTATCATGTGTTTTAAATACATAACACTATAAGTTTTGTCAAAATTATTATATAATAGCAATAAATATTTTACTATTTTAATAATAATTTCTTGCCTATTGATTGTGTAATTTTTGAATAATTTGTTAGAAAATAATTTACTTTAATTTTAATATAATATATTATATATTAATTTATAATATAGCTTACCATATTGAATAWWTTTTATAATAATAATATGCCAAATATATTTTATAACTTAAWGTTATTATTATCTAACTATTATAACTTTAATCACATGCTTTAATAATTGATGTCATCCTCCGGATAACTGTTTTATATAAAAGTATATTATTTTATAGGATGTTTATGTTTTATTGAATATTTTTTWAAAACAAACAAAAATCATTTAATTAACATATCAATTAAATARTAGTTGCAATTAAATAATCTCTTAATTAGTTCCTATAAATAATGGATTAGACGACAAATGTTATTTTAATTACTAGTCTTATCATATAAATCTAAAGTACATAATCAACAATATTTAGATCATTAAGTGTACATTTTTTATTACAAAACTRTAGTTATTTATAAGAAAAATRTTTATTTTTTTAATTAWACAATTATAGTACTGTACATTGTTTACATTTTTATTTTATAAAATATTTATATAATAATTAGTACATTATTTAACTTATTAGTATACTTTTAAAATGAAACAAATATTGCAAACTAGTTTATATGACAATGAAATTCTTAATTTTTATTACAAATTTAAAATAGATATGTTTTTATTACTTATTTATAAATATATACTAAAGYTTATAAAGTTTATAAATATATCACTAAAATGTTATCAATTATTAATATATGAATCACTATTTTAACTTATTTTTCTTAATGAATTAATTAAAATATTATATAATATCGTAATTTAATAACTGYTTATTAACTAATAATAAACGTATGTTATATTATATATATATATTAAATAATTATTTGTGAATTGTGGAATTATTCAATWTAWATCATTCGCTTAAAATAAATTTTAAAAAATAAATATTTAATTAAATTACAAAATAAAATGTTATAATATTAATTTTTGCTTAACTTTAAAAATAATATATTTTAAAATTTAATTAAATTATATTTATACACTAATTATACTCAAATTTAATTGAATTACAAATAAATATGGAAATTTATGTTACTTTTTGCTATTATGAAATATATTTTATCATCTAATATAATTAAAATATTTAATTATTATCAGTTAATTTATATACTTATTGTATAAAATTTATATACAGTAAAATTATTAACCATATATTTTATGTATAGTAGAGTACATCAAATTTAATATTATGGAAATATACAATATATTAAAAATTTATAGAATAACATAATATATTTGATAACATATTTCTAATAAMTATAAAAAATTATCACTTACTGTACTATTGCCAACAATAATAAAATAGAAATAATAAAACAAAATAAAATAAAGATAATTGGTATAACATTTTATTACAGTTTTCGTATTAAACTGTATATAAAAGCATACATTTTTGTAATTAAATACACTAATTTTTCTGTACATTAATAATTAACTTATTATTATAATAGTTACTATACAGTACTATTGTTATTATAGTACAGTTATTAGCACTATATTATGTGAATATCATTTAATTTAATATGTGTTTAATTTACWAGACTAAATTTATTATAATGTTTATTTTGCATGCTAATGAAAAATAGTTTGTAAAAAAAAATAAAATTTAAAAATTAATATTAATGTGAAATTTTCAATGTAGTTAATTTTAATAATGTAATATTAATGGATTAAAARTTATATAATTTATATGATATAATTATTAAATTATATTTTTGTAAATTTAATTAATAACACGTTTTGAACGCTTAAGCGATAGCTAATTGTAGCTACAGTACAGTACATGAATTTTGTGATTTATGTACCAGTGTCAAATTAGAAATTTAATACAAAACTAACATTTTATTATATAACAATTTATYGATGTTGTCGCTATTATTACTATTCTACATATTTTCAATAATAATTAAGTTTATGTGTGTTATTTTACAACAACAATCGATGCCATCAAAACATACAATGATATATTGGTTTTCGTGTTATAATATATTTTTTATGCTATTATTATTAGTGTTTCATATGATATCATCGATTAAAAAGCGAGTAAAAGTAAAGTGAAAGGAAAGGGAGAGAAAAGGGAAAGTGAGAGAAAAGCATAGGGAGAGTGAAAGAGAGAGAGAGAGAGAGAGAGAGAGAGAGAGAGAGAGAGAGAGAGAGAGAGARACTAAAAACTGACCTAAATTTTCATCGGGATCTCTGACTACTATATAAACATATTGTACAACAAACAACAAAAAATACAATAATAAATACAAAAGTAATTGTATTGATTCCTATTAAACTATAGTAAATTTATACATACATATCATATGATTTAAATATATAAGTATAAGTTATATAATGTGTTGCTATAAAGTGTGCGCTAAAAAAATTTAATACAATAGCAGTAGTTTGCTATAATAAGTTTAATTTTATTTATTATTATAATAATATATATATATATATACTGATACCATAATAATTGTATTTAAAATAAAATTTAAATATTCAATACAATATATTAGGGTCTCCTCTCTGTATATCACTGTTTATATACAGTATATACGGTGTATATCACTCTCTTTTCTCCACATAATTGGTTGATTGTGTCAAAAATTATTTTGCGGCCAAACCATCTGGTATTTAAATATACATATATTTTTTAAGAGTATTAATTACAATTTTAATTATATATATATAAATATACTGTATGTTGTATACCGTATATGATATAAATATGTTATTTACATTTATTTATGTATTGCATTTAATACAATATATWGTTAATTAAATAGCATATACAGTACAGTATTATATTATATTATACACAATATTCAAATTCAATAGGCATTGGTTCACAATATTCATGTGCAGTGAGATCGACAGTGAATACAAGTTAGTATATAAAGAAATATTTATTTATATAATTATATATATATTTATATATGACATGTGATTTTTATAAGAATTTTAAAAGAGAAATTCAATAATAATATATTAWATTAATTAAAAAAAATAATTATTAAAAAAACTTTTAATTATTGCTCTTTTAGTATTTTTTTGTATTAAAAAACTTTTATACATTATTATCATTCTATACTGTATATCGATTTAAATACCGGTGCAAATAGATAGACAATTATATATCATTGCAAGCAATCAATCAGACATATCTATTCATATAATAATAACAATAATAATACTAATACTAATAACTGTTGGCATTTTGTTTTGACAACTGTTCGGGAATCAGGTATTCAACCGAATATAACGACTCAAAAACTACCAGTGCTTCTATCAGACGGCAAAGGTATGTGCAATTCATATAACTTTATATATTGTATATAAATAATTATTAATTAATTTTCAACATATTAATTTTAACCGCATTATATAATATTATATAGCATGTACAGTATATACAGTACATTTGTGCACTTTTTTGCACTTTTTTTTTAGGTAAATACTGTAGAATTTATTGTATTTTATATAATAAAATTTATGTTAACTATGATTAAAATCTAGCTATTGGTTAACATATAATTAAATATTTATAATAATAATATAAATAATAATAAATAAGTAAGGTAAAATACAACAAAAAATATTTTAATATTATTATTATGATAATTGAAATCGATTGCGACATATTTTTTCTATACAATTTTAAGTGCATTTTTCATTAAAAATACTGTACTTTTAAAGAAAATATAAATAAATTAAAAGTTAAATAWATGGCATGTATAAAAAATGCAATTATTTCATTATATAAGTATAATATAATAAATAATTATAAATCCATGACATAAATATAAATTTTACTTATATATAGAAATATTTTGCCGTATCATGCAATATGTCGTATTAAAAAAAAAAGTTATCCTGGTATGCCATTAATATTAGTTTTTTTAAATATTGGTAATTATTACAAATACAGTAGGTCAGTAAGTTAATATTTAATAATAATTAAAAAAATTGTTGATCATCACTTTTTTATAAAGTGAGTGAGTGAGAGAGAGAGAGAGAGAGAGAGAGAGAGAGAGAGATTGAGGAGGTGTTAATTAATATCCGGTTATTAAAACATAAACTTTAATTTAAGTGCAAAGTGTTAGTTGTATTGAATATAAGGAAATGCTATCATTAATTAAACATAACATAATAAATAATAAATAATATATAATTGTAAATTGATCTAAAACATCTTGTTTTTATTAATAATGATTTTAAATTAAAGTTCATTTATAATATTTACTACTTTGATATTTCTGATTAATATATTAATAAATTCAAATGAAATTATATATTTTTAGCTATAGTTTATTTAATTTTTTAAAAATATATAAATGATTATTATTAAAACATTAGAAAAGCTTTAGTAAACTTAGATAACTAATAATAAATAGTTAACACAATATTTTTTATTATATTAATCTGTATTTATAGGTAAAATTATAACAATATTAATTTAGTAAATATAATAAATATTATGTGTTTTATTATATTAGCACATTTTTTAAAACTAGCAATTTATTAACAATATAATTGTATTATTTATGCACACGTGTCATACATACACACACACACACACACTCACTCAGAAAGAGAGAGAGAGAGAGAGAGAGAGAGAGAGAGATTGTACAAATAAAATATGGGCAGTAGGAAAATTTCCCTGAAATATTTTCTACACATATTAATACTATTAAAGCAAACATTTATTTTGCAAAATATACCGGTATATTATGTACTTTATAAACCATATAAGAATTTTTCTCAAATTATGATAACAAAAACATTATCACTAGATTTCAATGATTTACTTATCCATTGATTTACTGTATAAGTAATTCACGTGAAATCAACTAATATTTTTATTAACACTAAAATCTTAATACAAAAATTGATTGAAAAATATGTAATAACTATAAATTATTGATAAACTATATTATATGAAATAAACACAATGCTCTTCAATATCAAACATTACATAATAAAGTATTTATGTGTAATAATAAATAAATGTATTGATATGTTTAGTGTGTAATTCCAATGAATAAACTAATAGTTTTTTAGAGTACAAAAAATATATTTTATTTTTATGAGATAAGTAGTGGTTAGAGATTATAATAATTAATATAAAGCTTGTGATTCACAAAACATTTTTTATATATGAATTTCAAGTACTTATCACTGGATATGTGTTGGGTATAAAAAGTCTGTTTCAAACTTTTTGATAGCTCTCTATACATATCATATCATTTTCAGTATATATGAAAAATTTCTATTAATAATATATTAATTATATGATATATATTTATAAAACACGATAAATACATTTACTATTATAAACATTAGAATTTGCTATATAAATGTGTTTTCATTCGTTATTATTAAGTAAAATTGAAATATAGAAATATTTAATTTAATAATAACACTAATAATAATAATTTTTGTAACAACTAAAAAGTTTATTGTTTGTTTATGTGGTGTTATTATTATTATTTTTTTTGTTATAAAAAATTAATTAATTTTTATATATATGTTGATCACCGATAGTATTGAGACGTTATGCCAAATGGCAGATGAAAGCAAACAACAGCAACACATTCACTATTATTATAACATTGGCTGCAAATGGAGATACAAACAAATGCGTTATTTTCATTGCAATCCTAAACATCAAAATCGTATGTTATTTTTATAAATTAAATAATTAAATTTTATCATATTTTTCAATATAATTAATTTTTTCCTCTAAATCTACTAGATTTTTTTTTTAATTGTAAGCAAGTCTAATAACATTAATTAATCAATCAATTTCAATTATGTCCGGAAATATTTGATAAATATTTTATTATAGATATAAAAAATAAGTTTCTTAATTAGGATATACTCTTAAAGTTTATTTTTAAAAACTAAAAATAATCAATTTTGTTATAAAATGAACTAGCTAAATATCATTATTTTATTTAAGATTAGCAAATAATGTTAACATTTTTTTGTCTTATTGTTATAGAAATTAAATATTACGATGATTTCAGTGCATTATTTCATCAAAAAAATTAATCAAGTGACTTTTTACTAAAAACAACATAGATTTAAACTAAAAAAATAATTATCAATTTTATTTGCCTAACACCGATAACAAGGCACATACAAACATACACTAAAAAAAGTTTCATATGATATAACTTGCCATAAAAAACACAACATCACTAATAGCTTATTATAGTACTGTATATTATTAATAGAAATAATAAATTTTATGTACAGTATTTATATGTACTTTAAAATTCATAGACTTATTAGTGTTGAAAGTATGGATAAAAAACAGTTTATAAAATTTTGTTATCAAAAAAATAGTGTTTGTCTCCCACTTTACGCCAATTAAGTGTTTCTAAGCATCAGATTTGGATCCGTTATATAAATATGAATCGCATTTTTTTCTATGATATATAGATGAAGGTAATATAATACCAGTTTATATTGGAGGAAATGTAGTTTATGTTTAAAAATATATATATATATGTATGAGGTGCTCAAAGTTTCATATACAGTATAGATTATATTGTAAAATAATACTATTGAAAATATGATACATATATACCCACACATATAAAGATATATACATTTGGTGATATGATAAGCTCAGACGACCAAATCTAATACAAACAAATATATTGAAAGATATACATATATACTATATAATTGATCTTATGATTTGATCATTAAAACACTTTAACACAACTATATTTATATACACGTCATATCCTATGCCTAACCCCATATTACTTTTAAAAATTTAATAATTATTATTTTAACTCCTATTTAAAAAATAACCTATCATTTAATTTTATTATTTATCACAAACAGAGACTAATAAACTAAGGGAACCATTGGACAGACGGTGCAAAACAATATCATCGAAACTTCCCTATGATATCAATAATAATAATGTTATTAAGCAATCACATAATGGTAAGCATAATATAGTAGAAATATTATTACTATTATTATAGGTATTAATTTCTATTATCTAAAATAGCTTGAAATTCAAACGATTTCTAAAACTTTTTATATCGTAGAGTAGTATTTGCTTTATAATTGGCATTTATTTTTTAAATATTTTAATGTAATATTGTGTTTATTGATATTATGTTGCAATTTGATAACTTACAATTACAAATTACAAAAAAAATATATATTACAATAAATTGTAGACACATTTATCACAAAATAATTTATAGTATATATTTATTATTATAAGATATTTATTGTACATGTATTAAATTATTGTTTAGACTACAAGAAAAAATGTGTCTGGTATTTTTTCTTATAAAGAAATGTTTGTAAATTTTGTAATGTAATATACAGTATATTTAGTGAAATAATTATATAGAAATATTTTATGCATACAATTATCAAATTAGCACTAATATATTAAAAATACTAATAATTTTTTTGTTATTTATAATAAAGTTTAATTAAAAGCTCAATTATTTAAATTTGTCATTTACGGTTAAATTGATTAGATTTTAATTATAATAATAATTACTGTAATATTATTATTATAATTACATTTCAAATATAGTTATGTGTTACTAATCGTTAAGCAATTTTCAACATTACATTAACTTTTAAACAATTGATGAGTGATGATGTTTTGTGTTTATAGTTTTGATTTCAATAATTAACAATTATTTTACATATAATTACTATAAGTTATTAGTTAGTTATGACCTCCACTGTGACATTTTTATTTTTAATATAAAATTTATGCTTTAATTAAATGATCATAATATTAGAAATTACTGCAATATTATTAAATTAATTTGAAAATGAGCTCAAAATACAAAATTCAAGCTCTTTTATAATATTTATTCTAAAAAACAATAGACTATTTGTTTAACTAATTGAAACGTTAATAATGTTTGTCTTTATACTATAAATATGATTAGATAATAATATTAGTAATTTTTATAAAAATCATTTTTAATTAAAAATTATTATACAAACATAATAATACTTTTTTCAATAATCTAGATATTGTAAACATTTTATGATAAAGTACATAATTTTATTTTTTGTATTAGTTTAATTAATATTGATATTGATTAAATTAACATTTGATTTTTGATGGAATAATTGCTTAATAATTATATAATGCATTTAATAATCTTAGTTCATTAAATTAATTTTTATTGATTTAATTTTTTTTAAACAGATATTATAATTTTGAAAAATATATTATTAAAATGTCTATATATTTTATAGTATTATAAAAAAAAGTTGTAAATATATAATTAAACTCTATAAATATTATTAATGATAATATTGGCATATATATATATAAGTTTAATAAAGTTTATTTCTATTTATAAAAATTAACTAAAAACAAAAAAAAATAGTTCATTATGTACGTCAATGCTTTTTTAAATGATGTTAATTTTATATATATAGTATAATATACTAAAATACAATTTATGTGAGCATTTGTTAACAATTAATTATTTTCAGTAAAGCAAATAATATATCCTTTATATATGTTTGAGTTTTATGACAGAAGTTGTACGAGTCATGAGAAATGTTTATTTGAACCGGAAATACATATCATTTACTATTTGAGTACTAATTCTTGATTTGATAAATGGTTTATTAAAATACTTTTAATTTAGTTTTTAAAAATAATTTTAATTAATAATAAATTAATAATAAATCATTACAAATATTAAGTTAATATAAATATTTGTTGGTTTATTATGTCATAAATTACTATAGCATTAATAACTATAGTTAATCAATATTTTTATAAGTTATAATATTATTATTATTTTATTATTATTTTTCTAGACAATGAATTTATCTGTGATTATCATAGTTGCGACAAAATTTATAAGTCATGGTTTCAATTGCAAAGACATCGATCTCAACACTATAAAGTGCAAAGTGAGTACACATTTGGCACAAAAACACATAAATGATTTGAAATTAAATTTTTTCATAATAATAATWATTAGATAAACCATATCTGTGCGATTGGAAAGGCTGCTCAAATCAATTTAAAAAATTGAAAAATCTAATTATACACCGTAGACTACATACAGGTATAGAAATTAATTTTAATTAAAATTTTTTTAAAATAACAAATAATTTATTTAAATTTTATAGGCGAACGTCCATTTAAATGTGATTATGAAAATTGCAATAAAGGCTTCAGAGCTGCCCATAGTTTATCATCTCATAGGAGAACACATAATGAAAATTATGACAAAACTTGCAAATTGACGGATAAAACTAGTGATGACAACATGTTTGTCGATGAAAAGCTTGAGATCGACTAAAATAATCAATTTTTTTTTATTTATATCTATAATCAAATTAATTTATAATATATTTTATGTGAATATATATTTATATTTTATAAAATTAATTTTTAAAAATATATTATGTTTTTTTATTGTTGTTTTTTCAATTATTGTGTCAAAAATAAAGCGTTGTGCCATTTAGATTGGATAAATTAAATATATATATATATATATATTTGTTTTATAATTTGTGTACACACATTTTCATTGAATAAGCAATGTTAMTTTTTCTATATATAACAAAAAAATGTTAAAAATTATTTATGTTAATTATATATAAATTAAAAATAATTTTATTATTAATATTTTTATATAATGTATGAGGACGCTAGTCACTTATATATATATATATATATATATATATATTATTTATTATTATTTTTTTGTAATAACATTTAAAAATAAYAGATAAAAATTTGTGTTAAAACTAGTGTTAAAATTTTTATCTATTTAGAATTGTTATTTATATGTATATTTTTATTTATAATTATTAACTATATGTATAACTAATTAGATTATTAATTAATTATTAGATGTCTTAATTATTAATAATATATTACTGTATGCACTTTATTAACATTAATTGTTATTTTTTATAAAATAATTCAATTTATGTTATTAAATATTTAAACACTTAGATAAATATTGTTAACATTTTACATAATAAATATAATACATGTAGAATAATATATATTATAAAAAATATAGAAAATAATAAATACAATTATGATTWAGATTTCTATTGTTATTATTAACAATATTTATGAATAGTTTATTACAATTATATTTAAATATATTTATATTATAAACATAAACATATTACTGTATTTATTATTATTTAAAAAACAATTTTATTAAATTTACAATACATATAATGACATCTATCATATATATATTGTAAGCTTTTAAAAATGATATTCAATTTTTAATTTTAATTAAATTTAAGCGTTATTAGATATTAGTTTAGTTATCTAYTTAATAAAATGACAATTTATATTTTAGGTTATTCAACTTTTCTTATAAATAATAATAATATTGTATCAATAAAAATATAATTTCATTTTTGTAAAAATTTACAAATTGACGACTATAAATTGATAAAGTTTTAGCAATGGCATTAATTACAATAAAATTGATATAATATTGATGATATTAAAATGTTATAGGTTAGATATTTTTTAAATTTATAATTTATATTAAAAACTTTAACAATACTAATAATACAGTTAATAGTAATTATYGGTAAAAACATATTAAATTATTCCTAATATAATTTATATTCAATATATTAATCAATGTTAGATATCGATAGGTGTCATAGCATGCAAATTACAAACCGTTTACTTTTTAATCAATTAAACAATATTTTTGCGATACTATTAATGACATTGAATGTGTTTATTAAATTTATTTATAATATTTTCACACAATTTCATATACAGTATTAATTGTAATAATATAAAATAACATAACAATATGTGTTTTTGTAATTTAGTTAAAGTTCAATGTCTTTAATATGTACTTTGATTTATAGATTTATAAATGAAAAATAATTTTATTAATATAATGTAAAAAATCATTTTTATAATAATTATTAAAATAAATAGTAAAAAATTAATTATTAATTAAAATATTTATTTAACAGATTCTAAATAATGAGTTGTATTCACAGATACAGAGCATTTGACAAAATTCAATCATAGAATTGAATTTTTTATTTTTTAAAAATATATATATATTGTTACAATCAGTTATCTATTAACAAAAATATATTTATTAAAATATGTAAATAGTTATTTTTTATATTTTTTAATTCAATAATTTAATTAAAACTTGAGTTGAGTGGCCGTTGATCAGGCGGCCAATAACTCGGGTTCGGTTAAGTATACGAAATAAGTACACGTTTTTATATGAAAGTAAACGATTTTATTAATTATAAAATATGCGACTAAACGCTGTAAAAGCTAAACGACTACTACTGTTGCGGAAACGGTAGAGTCGTTGAAATAATGAAATGCTGCCGCTTATGATGTTGTGTTGAGCGCCAGCTGTTTACACACTCCCCGGCCGCGAAACTGCGTATATTGTCCGAATTTTGCGACCTTCGGGTAATGCGATCACGTACATCAATCGGTGATGTGTTTCGGTGATTACGGTCTTGTTTATCATCAAACCGTCGTTGTTTGTCTTGTGGTAGACGTCCAATCGGTGTCACAGGTGGTCGTATTAGTGGATGTTTCTTTTCGGTGTGATTTGTGATATCACGCTTAACGGTGAACAAACCAATCTGTGGTATTCGCGGACTTCTGCCGGAACACCCAAACGATTTGTTATGCGATTTGATCGGCTCCTGTCGTCGACATTGACGTTTCCAATGATATTCGGTGAAACCGTGTCGAAGACATCGAGGACAAGGAGTCGGCGGTATGTCATACTTACGATTGTCTTTACGATTAATGCGATTATTTTCGGTGACAATACCGACTTTTTTGACTGTCATATGTGCGACTTTCGGTTTATTCGAGATATGTCGTTGACTTCGCAGGCGCACAGTTGTCTTCATTTCTGCGATGTCGAGTCCAACGAGAACATCGTACGCGATGTCCATTACGTGAATCGTTACGTATTCGGTGTGTCCGTCCATTTGAATCTTAACGTTGACGACACCGAGTGTATACTTATCGCCGGCGATGGTACCTACTTTGGTCTTATGTCGCGCGTCCGGTCGGAGTTTCATTTGTTTTGCGACATCCTTCGATAAGATAGTAATGTCGGCGCCATTATCTATGAAAGCTCGTACGGGTTTGTCATTAATTCGTATGTCTCGATATCGTTCAGTATGCGAGACAGCGTTAATCACTGGATCCGGATTTTTCGGTTCTGTTCTCGTACAGACGCGCATCCAGTGATATTCGGTTATGCCGTGTCGTCGGCATCGTGGACATGGAGTCGGTGGCCTATCATTGTTACCATTCTGTCGCTTTTTCCAACGATTACGTTTGGGTTGGCCGTCTTCGTCGTCGATAGCGTTAACGTTAAAACTTTTATTTCTTTTTCGTGTCTCTTCGACGAGAAGCGCTATTTGTAGCCATTCTTGAGGCGTTGTCGGTCGTTGACAGGCAATCAGCGGCCTGTAGTAGTCGGGCATACCCTTCGTGAGTAGACCTATCTGTTGTTCGTCGGAGGCGCGCTCTTCGTCCAGAAGGCGGCGCATTTCGTGATAATACGTGAGTACGCTCTCATTAGCTTTGAGTTTTCGGTCGGAGGCTTCAACAAGACCGTGACCAACCATACGACCAAAACGCGCAATCATAAGAGATCGGCACTCGGCCCAGGCCAGGTTTGGAAGTTTTCGTGCGACTTCACGACAATACCAACTGAAGGCATCGCCGGTCAAGTGTTTGGCGAGCGCAAGCAGCCTCTCGTAGTCGTTAAAATCGTATGTCAAAGCGGTGAAGCCATCGAGCCATTCGTCGATAGGAGTTACGGAGGAACCGCCTATAAATGGTTCACATAATTTAGATGCGTGTTTTACGGTACTATGCGGTCGTGTTGTTAAGGTATCGGCATCGGAGTCCAATCTCTGTACGCTTGTAGTCGATAAACTCGATGCCGTATTGCGATTGTTAATCACATTTCGTGCGGCGGCGGCCACTTGAGCAGCTCTGGTCAGCGTTGCCAAACGTTGTGCTAATCCATCCTGTGTCGGGTCGTCGGCCATATCGCGTGACAATGCTTCTAAGTCTGAAGCGATTGACGACAAGTCTTCATTCGTGTCTTCGGAAGTCGGGTTGAGTCCGTTCGCACCCGTCGGTACATTAAGTTCGTTACTGAATGGCGGTAGTGTTCGGCCACTACGTAATTGTTGAGACATCGTTGTCTTCGTATCGTTTCTTTAAAACGCTTTATTAACGAAAAACCGTTGAATCGATGAGAGCCGTTAAGGCGACAAAAAACCGTTGTTTTTTGAATTCAAAAGTCTTCGGTGAGTAGGTCGTCGAAGTCGATTTACTTTCGATATCCGCGAGGTAAGTATCTCAGTCGACTGCGCCAATTGAGTTGAGTGGCCGTTGATCAGGCGGCCAATAACTCGGGTTCGGTTAAGTATACGAAATAAGTACACGTTTTTATATGAAAGTAAACGATTTTATTAATTATAAAATATGCGACTAAACGCTGTAAAAGCTAAACGACTACTACTGTTGCGGAAACGGTAGAGTCGTTGAAATAATGAAATGCTGCCGCTTATGATGTTGTGTTGAGCGCCAGCTGTTTACACAAACTAAAATAAAAGTTCACATTATGTCTCTAACATATTTAACACTAATATGAGCCGATGTTTGTCAAATGTAATATATCTATGGTTAGTAAATGTGATTAATATACTATAAAATATTAAACTAATAACAAAAATTATATCATATATAATACGAATATATCTTTCATATATTTTTAACTATTGTATAACAGTGTATATTTAATAAATATTAAATTATAATAGATATTAAATATAAGTAAAAATTAGAACAAAATTAGATTATATATTACAATATAGTTATTCAGTATTTTTTGAGAAATAATGCAAAATAATTATCATAAATAGGTTATTATGAAATAAATTATTGTTTTAATGATAATTGTTTTTTATGTAATATAAAATATTTTAAATTAGATTTTAAATTTAAAACATGTTTACAATTTCAGTTATACTAATAAAATAATATTATTAATTTGATATATTGACAAAATATTTACTCACTTATAAATTGAAAATTATTTATAACATTATTATTATAAATTAGATTTGTAAAAATAGACTAATCACAAATCATAAAAATCTTATATAAATAGTTCAATTAATTTAAGATGAACTCTACAAAAAAGCTTATAAATTATTTTGGTTTATTGTTTGTTAATAAAATAAATAAACAAAAAATAAGTAAAAAGAAAAGGTTTAGGTTTTAGTTATTTGCTTTTTGTTAGGTTTCGGTTCAAATTATTTGTGGCAAAGACTTAAACAATAGCGGTTCTGATTATAACAGCGGTACTAATAATCATAATTATTATTATTTAGTAAACTTTATGTTTAATTAAAAAATAGACACTAATGTCAAAAACTAAATAAAGATAATTAGCCAAATAATTGTCGTCCAATTGATAAAATAAATGTTTAACATAATAGTCAACTAGCAATTATGCAACTAATTATTAAAAAAAACTGATAATTTACAATATTATTTATTTTGAAATCATCTATAAATTTAAAAATAAATAACTTTAAATTAAACGTACAGTAAGTTAACAAAATTATTGTAATTATTTGAATAACATTTATCATCGCCACTGTCCGCACACAAGTCTCTACTCATTAGTTGTTGTTTTTATTATTATTTAGTATCGGTTTTATTATTTGTCTATTATTTGAAGCATCAAATTCTATACAATTAAAACATTTGTCTGAGTTTTTTTGTCTTTCATTATTATTATACATTTATATACAATAACAGTATTAAAAGATATTATGTTTAATATTTTTTAATTTTCATACATTTATAATATTAATTATTTCTATGTAAAGAAATATAAATTAATAATAATATATATWTATATAAATCTAATTATCAATTATAAAATATATATTTTTATAGTAATTAATTCATTTAATAATTACATAATTTTTATATATTTTATAAATTCAAATAAAAAATGCTATTTGTTATTTTATAATAATGTTGATTATTTTTATAACCTTGGTTTTATTTTGTTTGTTTATTAAATATAGTAAAAACTATATTGTTTTTTATTAATATTTCTTTATATTTAAAAATATAAAGAACTTTTAATAAGTTCATTAAACTAATGAAATCAAGGTAATCATTAAATAACCTTTAAATATATATATATATATTTATATATATGTATACATACAGTATATGTTTTACTAATAGCTTAAATCTCTAGTCTATCTCTAGTATAGTATTTTAATTAAAAAATAAAATACAGTGTTTTTTGTCAGATCACTGCCAATACTAATAACTGTTTATATTATACAATGAAATTAATTCAAGTTTATATCGAGAACTTTTCTACAATCAAATCACGTTATATATTACATATTAATAAAATTTTATTTAAACACTGTATAATTTTGTATAAAGTAATATTTATAGTAATTTTTCAAGAAAATAAATTTTCATAAGTTAATAGCTTAAATATTTATACAGTATTTAAATAGTAAAAAATATTTAGTTTATAAAAATTTAACAATTATATCATAAATATAATATTTTAGGCTCTATAACTTTAACTCTACAAATTCAATATTTATTACAATGATACTGATTTTTTTAATAATAAAATTTAAAAGAAATTAATTATAAATATATAGATTTATTAAAATAAAATAATTATTTATAAGTAATTTAATAATTATTAGTAACTGAATTTTATTGGATTTACAAACTGTTTTTCCCCTTTAAATAAAAGGGTGTTTTATATAATTGTATGGCATTTTCATATTTATTTATCTAATCATTAATTATGTCCCATTGAAGGCTTTCACTACATATAAAAATATTGTATAATCAGCAGATAGATATATAATACTACAATAATACTACAATATTAGATATACAGATAAAATGTAAATATTATATTCAATTAGCTATCAGTGAGATGTTCAGTATTTATATATAAATCGGGTCACTATTACACTATCAAACAGTTTAGTATTAAATATATTTTATGTCTAGAATTATTCACATAAATGTAAGAATCAATCAGTCAGTCAACTATTTTTTTTGTTATTTAACAAACATATTATATATATATATGACTCTCGTTTTTAATTATAAACCGATTTCTTAAAATTAAATTTTTATTTTTTTAAATATTAAAATATGATTTTGTATAAACAAAATAAGTTTACTGTTATTTTTATCAGTATTTTGTATATATTTTGTGATATAATTACCTGCAATAAAATTAGTCCCATATATGCCAATCATTATTTTGCCCGTCAATTCTTTGCTTATTTTAATGAATCCCAAATCAGTGTCGAGTGCCGGACAGTAGCCGCCTATGTGGCCGACCATCAAAACGACGACTGGGCTCTCAAATGTATGTTATTTTAATATAAATATTCTACTATTTATTTTTTAATAACAAATTAATTAAATAAATTAACAAAAAAACAAATATTTTTAATATAATATTAAAATATTTTGATATTTGTTAATACGCTATATTTTTAACATTATTAAATTGTTTAGTATTTGAGAAATAAAAATAACATATCTATTAAATATAAACATTGTATAAGTTTTATGAATTGAGATAAAAAGTTATATAATATTTTATAATATTTTTAACACACAATAAGATTAAATATAACCTAATTTTATAATTAAAACAATGATAAAGTAATATTAATTATGTTATATTATTTATTWATTTATTTACTTATAAAAACTTTATAGAAAACATTTAAGAATAYTAGTAAATATTAATCTAATATTTATAAAATAAATAAAAATTATATATTAATTATAGATTCAAAATGTATTAAAACAAATTTACAATATATGATAGACTTTATTATACATTTAATTATGACAAACAATAATAACAATGTAATTAATTAATTAWATTTTTAAAATTGTGATAATAAAGTAATAGACTCAAGTGGTGTAGTGGGTGCAGGTCTGGCAAAAGGCAATTATCAGTTTATGGGTGACTTTGACGAGTGTCTCGACGTTAAAGTCACGCTATCGGGTGACCGACAAATAACGGGTATTACCGGACAGTATTGTACACTTAATATACCTGTCGAGACACTAGTTGGCAATAATGAGTCTAAACATTCAGTAAGTTATCAAACAGTATATCATAGATATATTTGTTAAATATTATATCAAACAAATCAAATCAATGAATTAATTAAACATTTTTATTGATTCAGACATTGAATGTTGAATCGTTACATTTGACGCCAACATTGGGAATATGTATACCAAATGCATGTAATATAAGAGACTTAACAAATATATTGACAACATGTATGTACTTATATTCAATATTATAAATATAATAATATTATGAAACTATTTTATAAAAGTTACAAAAAAAATTTGTTAAATTAAAAAATATTATTTTTCCCATTGAACACTAGTTTCGTTAAAAACTAATATTAATGTTACTGTAAGTGATTGTACTGATCCCAATGAAAATAACATTAAATGGTATCACATATTTATTATGTAAGTTTAAGTTTTTTAAAAAAGTAATAATAATATTTAACTATTTAATAATATAATCAATAAATAATGTTTGTCCTAAAATGACCATGGTCCAGTTCCGCATTTGCAACAATATTGGTACTCATTTTTATTGGCACTTTCATTGACGTCACAAACATTTTCAGACAAAAATGTAATATTATTTTTGTTATGTTTTATTATATTTTGTATGTAATATAATTTTTCACCTCTTTATCTCTCTCTCTCTTTCTTTCTTCTAAATAACATAAAAACAAAGTATTATTGTTATATTTATATATAACTTATATGCATATAAAATGTTTGACCATTTGTTATCTAATTGTTTGACAACAGCTTCAGTAAAATTGGTCACAACGTTAAAAGCATTTTCATTGTACACTAATACGGAACAGCTGTTGAGCACCGGTAGCCAAAAGGAGACGATTAGTTGTTTTCATGGCTTCCGTGTCATCAGTTTGTGTTTCATTATTATCTATCATATCTGGACTGAAGCACAACTACCAAGTGGTATATATATATGTTTTTTAAATCTTTTATTTTAATAAAACTTAAGAAATTAWYAATAAATATAATTATTAATCATTTATATACTACAGTATATACTATATAGTATATATTGTATGTCAATTATAYATCAATAATAAAAAAAGTTAGMAAAGATACAATTATAATAAATATTGATAAAAGGAGATATTTTTATTTAATAAAATATTTATTGGCTAAACAATTATACTTGTAGTAATCATATTAATAATCGTTAACATACTCTCTAATTTGTTAAATAATAATTATTCAATTAAATAACATTAAAGATAGATTTACCAAAAAAAATAAATAAATGCTGAAACATCTCAATTTGTAAATAATATAAATCTATATAAATTATATCACATATATTAAAATATATTATTACATTAACAAATTGTAGTTAACTCCCACGTTTTATTCAGGAAAAAATAATATATTTCACTCACAAATTTCCTATTAACATATCATAAGTGTAGACTATAACTGTTATAGTATAACATGTCTTAATGTTTAGTATTATAACAATTGAAAATTTAAGAAAACATAAATTGCAAACATTGATAGAATAACTTATTTGTTTAATAAGTAATTATATAATAAATTAACTAAAATTAATCTTAGTAATTTATATAATATCAATTAATTTTAATGTTAAACTCATTTATACACAAAATAGTTTATTAAACGTTTTTTGAAAATATACTGTTAATATTTTATTTTCAATATATTAAATAATTTACTAATCAAACAATTAATAAATTATACAACATTATCTATAATCTTAACTTAACTAATTTGTTTTTAGCATAATCTTAATTGTTAATTAATGTTGTATCTAGGATTTAAGTCTCATTTAAATCATTGATTTTCAAACAAATTTTCAACAATCATACAAATCTAATCTTCAAAGATAGTCAATCTTATAAATCCTTTTCATTTTGACAATAAATATTTTTCATGATAAAGACAATAATCTTTAATATGAATAATAAATTTGGTAAATGTTATAAATGTAATAAATCTTTATATATTTACAGATTTTGTGTTTATGTGTGTKCAGTGAATAATAAACACTAAGTTAGCTCAACATTAACCATCAATATCTATAAACAGCTAAACAATAATTGTTTACTGAATTTTAGACAAACAAAATCTAGACATGAAATCAATACAATTTAAATGAAAAGATGTTTACGATCTTTATTTCTAAAGGATTGTTAATTTGATTATTATTATTGTATTTTGATATCTTTGACAATTTCTATCATATTAAACGTTTATTTTTATTGTAATTATATCATACTATATATATATATATATATAWATWTATATCAATAGATAAGCATTTTAGGGGTTTTCATAAAATATTATATAATTTTTTTAATACATTATATATATATATATATATATATTAGCCAATCTACTTGAGCTACTGGAGGGTGAATCAGATTTTATATTACAAATAATAACTAACGCCGCCCTATGGGTCGATGCATTTTTCCTGTTATCGGGATTTCTGTGCGCCTATAGTGTCATACGGGAAGTCAGACGGACATCATTTAAAAAATACAATCATTTTATCAATATTTTGCACCGATATCTTCGACTAACGCCATCATTGCTGGGCGTACTGGCGTTTTCCATAATACAGGAAATTATGGCTAACGGTCCCCAATGGTATCAATACATTCAAAACTCGCTGCAAACCTGTCACAGAAATTGGTGGACAAATCTATTGTACATCAATAACATTGTTGGTCTCAACCAATTGGGTCAAAACAATCAAGTATTGAAAAAAAACAATAAAAATATTTAATTTTCTAATTAATATTTCATCTTTCATATAGTGTTTATCATTTACGTGGTATTTATCAGTAGATATGCAAATATTTATAATATCTCCAATACTAATATTACTATTGGCATCAAACGATATTAAGTAAAGTTCTTTCTATTGTTTTTTTTTTGTTTTGTTTAGTTTTGATAAAATATTAAACATATTATTTTTTTCTCTTTTTATTAAATATAGAAAACAATATATGGGTATAGCTGTCAATATTACAGTTATCATTGCCAGTTGGATCATCACAGCTGTCATAACTGTACGCAATGGACTCACACCTACCGTATTGATGACCGTCTAGTATGTGTCACACATATGTTTTATTTAAATATTTTTTTATATTTAAAACTGTACAATAACATAAATTACTATAATAGATGGCATAGACATAAATTTATATCATATATATTATCTKAAGTTCAATATAAATTTTATCAATTAATATAATAACAGTGATCTGGATTACATAAACAAGATATACATGCAGTCATATTGTCGTATCGGTCCTTATTGTGTCGGTATATTAATGGCTTATTTCTACATTAAATATAAAGGAAAGCTCCTAATTAAGATGGTATGGAAATATACCACCAGTGCAATTAATTGACTTATCAAAAACATATTTAATTAATATACAATTACTATTATTATTATTACTCTATCTATACTTTAATTATTAGAAACTGAACATTATTTTATGGATACTGTCACTGACATTGAACTTAAGCATAACGTTCCTCACCTACCCGTGGCTATTAGGCAAAAGTTACCGTAACATTGAGAGTGTACTATACGGTACCACACATCGTACACTGTGGGCATTGAGCTGGTCATACATGTTGTTTGCCTCTACACTGGGTTACGGTTCAGTAGTCAACAAAGTGCTCTCATGGCCAGCATTTGTACCATTGAGTCGACTCTCATTTCAGGCCTATTTGTATCACTCGGTGCTGATCTCACGGTTCGTGAACAGCGCTCGACAACCAATGTATTCATCAAAAATTAATTTGGTATGATTTATATAAATAAATTTACTATAAATAGCTAACAGTGCTTCAAATCTAATAACCATATGTTGCATATTCAGTACATTGAACACTATCTATCATTGTACTGTACTATCTAATAGTATAATAATATAATTTAAGAAACAATGATGCATATATAAACTAATCAATTAGTTTAACTACAAATATATATATATATATTATACATGTATGTTAAATTGTGGTCTATATAAATCATTTCAATATCAATGGCTATAATTGAAGTTCAATGTACAATTATTAATTTATTGTTTTTTATTTTCTATATTATATTGTATCTAATTTACTGTATAATATAAATTGAATTTACTTAGTCAATAGTTAAATTACACACTATAAATACATGATTATAAAAATTCATAGCAAACTAATATATATTAATATATATATACATTTCTACATWCATCTAAATGATTGAGTATATAGATTAATRTCTCATTATACTTATTGGATTAATACTGATTTTGTTTATTAATTCAAATTGAATTTTTATGTATTTTTATTTATATTTATTTTTGTTATCATTAATTATATTTGYAATGTCAATGTAATTATAGATTACTATGAAATTCATAGTATGAATGAATTTGTAATGTAATTCATACTTTATTATATACTGCATATATAATATGTTAAATATTTGACATTCATATTGAAATACAGTATAATTAGTTAGTAAAATGAATATATATATAATATTGATAATTAATATGTAGTTATTGTTAAATAGATAGTGAATTTAAATAAAYATAGTATGATTCATCTACAATATTGACTAAAACTACTTCTAWTATAAACTGTAAAGTATTTGCTATCATATTTTATTGCTAATATTTTATGTACTATTTTTATACAGTTTTTAAATTACTTTTATATAAGATATATGAAAAAATTCATTTCAATTGTTTCAAGTGAAACATTATATATGATATAATATTATATGATTTTTAAAGAACTAATCAAAATACTCATACTATACTATATTTATTGATAATATAAAACAAAACAAAAAATGTCATATCCTGTAAACTGATGCCTTTATAACAATGAGTTGGTAACTCAATAATTTCTATGATCGTAATATATTTTTATTTTTTATAGATTAATTTTTAGATCTTGATATCTAATATATAGTTTATTTGTAAATTATCGATCAAACAACAAATATAGAGTATATCACATTTTATATGTTATTATAATAATGTATAGGTTATATTATAAACAACAAATAAGTCATTAATAATATATTTATAAAAMTAAAATTGATAAAATGATTAATAGTTAGTTATTAAGAATAGTATTTTTYAAATAATAAATAAAAATTATATGAATTATATGAATTATTGGGCACTTTGTACTTCAMATATATTAATTTTTTAAGTAAAAAAACTTACTTCAAACTGAAAACACTTGTAATCAAAATACTAGTAAATTTGTGTATAATATGGATATTGTTTCGATGATTAACATCAATACAATATTTTTATTGGTGTGACGATAGTGTGTTGTTAATAGAGATGGGCAAATAGAAAGTTTCTAGAAAATTTTTCAGGAATAAATTTCTATGGAAATTTAATTTTATTGTTATACTATGGGATCACCATATAAATAGCTATTATAATACTATAAATATATTAATGAGATATTGCACATATAATACCTGTATACTATTATACTGTAACACACTATTATACAAATGGGATCCCTATATAAATAATTATAATTATATTCAATAATAATCAGTTTTGTAAAAATTTTATTCATCTTTTTATTATATCATAGTTTAATGATTAAATAAATATTTTTTACTTTAATTAGTAATTAAAATAATAATTAATTAATTATTACTTGTAAAAACAATGTTACTAGATAACAAATATAGAGAGAACAAAATTAGCCATGGGGATCCCATAGATAGAAATTTCTTTTAGAAACTTTCTAGAAATTTCTCTTTAATTTTATAAATTTCTATTTTATGCCAACACTAGTTGTTAACCACCGAAACAATATCCATATTATACATCAATTCATTTGTATTTATGATTATAAGTGTTTTCAGTTTAAAATAAGTTTTTTATTAAAAATTATTTTAAAATTTTATTTTAGAGTAGGTTTTTCTRTTAAGCTTAAAATAGTATACTTATAWTTTTTAAATAAATATATTTTTTAAATAAGTATTATAAATAATACTTAAATAGTCAAAGATGCATAATATTTTAATTTTWAATTTGATTAATTATTAAATAGTTTATTTTATTTTGAAGATAACTTATAAGTTATATAAATTTCAATCAATATTATTACACGTGATAACGTAAACAAGTTAATATTYAAAATAAATATGATATCTAATATGGATGAATATATAATTAACATAATTGAATTATGTATCGCAGAAAAATAAACTTATCTAATAATTTATTTATATCTATCAATACATTTAATACTGTATTAAGTATTAAGTATATACTTCATTAAAATTTTTAATTAATAAAATTCTAATGATTTATGTATTAAAAATTTTATATAACTTATTAAACACTTTAAACTATAATATTATTTATTAATTTTGAGCTTATTTTTTAAAAATATTAATAATATATTTAGACACATGAGTTTCAGATTTATTTTTTATGACATTAATTGTTTATTTGATACCTTAAATATAAATTTTAACAGGGTATAAATTATAAAATATAAAAAATATCAAATTAAAAAATATAAATTAGATTTAATAGGAGACACGTTTGAAGCATTAATATTGAAAAATATTAGCATTTTATATAGTTTGTAAATTCTAAAACTTTATAAATTATCAAATTTTAAATTTAAAAAAAATATTACACTTTTATTTAAATTATTTTTTTAAATTAAATTGATATMTAGGTCATGATGTTTTTCCAATATACAGTATTGACATTTGTGGTCAGTTATGTGGCKTACATTATGTTTGAAATACCAATTGCTAACATTGAAAAAATATTTCGTCAAAAAAGTGTATCAAAATTATTGCCAATTAGTGACAATCGCAGAGATAGCGTAACAAATGTCAATAAAAATAATATTAATATTAATATCGATGTTTCAAATGAGGAGGACTTGCATCACAATAATCAGTATTCAAATTATGGAACCAATTCGTAGATTTTTAATTAAAATTTAAAAAAATATATTTTTATATCATTTTAAATRAGTAAATATTATTTAATAATAAAAATAAATTTATGTCTAATTATAATATTATTAATGTATCATTTATAAATATATTTTTATTATTCTTAACAATGTAAAATATTTTTGTTATAAGTTTTCTGTTAGTTAATTGATAGTAATTGTAAATATATTATATAATTATTAATAATTTTAAATAAATATTTTATTTTTTTATAACTTTTATAGTATCGTTAAATACATATAAAAATTTCCATTTAATTATTTACTAAACATATTCTGTATTCATTACTAATAATATTATTTTATTGTACAACACGTAACCACAAAAATCACATTAATATATATTTTTTGATAATATTTCTGAATTCAATAACAAATAGTACATAATATTTATATACAAAATTACATTTTTAATATCAATTACGGTAACTATTTTTGTATATATTTATTTATATAATATCTGATGAAATATACGGAAAATTTCTGTGAAGTTTCTTTTATATGGTTTTTTGTTTACTAATCAATTATTAGTTTTATTTGTAATATATTAATAAATAATAATATTAATTAGTATAATAGTAAATAAAAATTAATTTAAYTCWATATTTATAAATAACAAAAACATTTATTACATATCATTAAAGTATTTAATAACTTATATATATGTAAGAATTAATAGTATATATTGTATTTCATCTTTTTTTATTTGAGAAATTATTAATATAATAATAATACAATTAATACAATATTGGTTCTTATTTTTAGATAATAAAAAAATTAGTTTTTTTATTTAAAAATAGTTTTTAAAAGCAAGAAAACAATAACATATCATTTACAGTAACATTTGTAATTGATATAAAATGTTGTCATAAACATTACAGGGTTTTTAAGGTAATTACTAAATTATACCACAACTCAAACCCTTGGGATTGATRTGCAAATGCAATGTTTATCAGTAATGTTTATAATGCATATTCTTTAATAATAACAACACTGACAATACAATGTTACAAATTGTGTAACAAATGTAGAGTATATTTATTTTGCAAACATTTTTTAAATGTTTTTTTGTATCTATGAACTAATTAATGAGATATACAAATATTATTTGATTAGTATTTGTTGTCGTTTTTGTACATATAATCAATTCATATATTTTGTTTCTAACCCATTGAAACACTGACGGATAATATTATATTAATATTTGCATTTTGTTTAATCAATTCATGTATTTTTTTATTATTATTATTGTTATTGTTTTACTTAATTTGCAAAATAAATGAACAATACTTATATAAGTTATTTTATAAATTGTCGCAACATAATTAAACAAATATTTATTTATATTGTGAAACATTTTTTATAATAGTAATTTAGTTTACGTTATTTTGTTGTTGTTATTTTAACTTCAAACATAACAAAAAATACCTGAGTCTTAATATATGCAAATTATATATATATTACAAAAATTAAACATTTTTTGTAATATAATTCACAATTGCATTAAATATATTAAAAAGAATTGATCCAAAYACTTGACTCTCTAATGTACTATTATTTATATATATATATTATATTTAAATAAAGTATCTATTACTCAATTTTTACAAGATTAAAACTATTTAATAATATTAAATTATAATAACTTGTAAAACGTTTAAAATTGAGTATTTAATTTAATAAATATTTGTTGAGCATCATTCAATTTAATATTAATGTAAACTTTATTTTTTATTTTAAATTCAATTTACAGTTATAAAAAGTGAGATTAAGTTTAATAATGCTATTAAATTTACAGTTTTTTAACAAATTTTATTTATAAAGATTATTTTTTGTTGTTAAAATCTTTAGGAAAAATAAAACGGTATTAATTTTATTTGAATAATGCAATAACTTATTTGAAAAACACATAAAAATTTATGAAAAAATATTTATTAAGWATTAAGTCATATGAGCTGACTATGTCATAAAAATATAATTTAATATTTGCATGAATTTTAATATAAATATTATTGTTTATTTTTAAATATATCATATAATTTATAATTTATATCATATAATATATATATATATATATATATATATATATATATATATTSAAAGACAAAATTTGAAACAAATACCGTTTTTTGAACTAAATATTTTATATTAATTTATATATTTATAAATACATATTTTATTTATCTTTATTTTGTGAGACTTTATTTCAATTTTATTTACTGATTTATTGTATAATTTTACTTATGTATGTCAACTTGATAGTAAAATTAAAAATTTAATATAAAAAATTGTGTCATAGTAAACATGCAAATATTTTCAAGCATAAATATATGAGATATRAAATATTTTTATTATTATTATTTACTATGAATATAAAATACAGAATATTCTTCTAATATTCTCTCTYTCTYTCTCTCTTTAATGTACAGTATWTTATAGATTCAACAATGTTTGYGTACATTGTGTACTGTAATGTCTATATATGTGTACGCATAGAATATAAGTGTTAAAACTCAGGGAGGGCTTAGAGTAAAGGGCTGGTAGTGTTGAAATTACAGCATTTGAACGGTATCTGTGCTGTGAATGTATCATTAAAGTGTATATACACGKTATATACCGACTCTAATTTCATATATTAAAGTCTACTTTCAACATATACGGTAYAAAAAGTTATTATATATATATATATATAATATACAGTATATAAACATTTTTACTTTCAATGAGTGCAACATTTGCTCTGAAAAGTGAAGTCCAACACAACTAACAATAGAGTTTAAGCGAAACTACATTATATTATAAGMAAAAAATATTGCTTATATTTCTATCAATAATAAATTTATTTTATTACTTCAAATAATCTATATATACTATATAAGTGGTGTAACAAATTACCGCTTAATGTCATAAAAATTAAGATAACTTTTATATTTTCATTGTATATATAAAATAAAAATTTTGTCTCATTTAGAAAATCATTATTATTATTATTACTCTAAAAATAGTTCATTGAATTAATTTATTAATCTATTTAATTAATATATGTTCTTAAAAAAAATTATTCGTTTAATTTAATAAAAATTTTAATATTTTATAAATCTGTCATTTATGTAAATTAAGCATAAAAWTATAATTATAAACAACATTTATTTTGACATGACTACAACTAAATTTAAAAATTTGTAAAAATAAATTTGTTAATGAATATTGTATGTTAAAAGAAACATAAATTATTAATTAACTGTCACGTAATAAATATTATAATTACAGTTTAATAATAATAAAAATATTGTTAAATTTTTAATATTATGAAAATATTGACATTAATAAAACTTGTGTAAATATTTTTCAAGTTTTTATATTTTGATTATACAACAAAATCTCGTCTTTTAATAAACAAACAAATAAATAAAATTTATTGAAAGTTATACAAAATAATACTGAGTTTTATTTGTCATTAGCCTTTATTTGACAAATTATTTATAAATAACTAAAATTTCATTTGATCATCCATACGAAATGTAAGTAATTTATTTTTAATTAAACTATTAATTAATTAAATAAATTTGCTTTAATTAAGATACAACTTTAAAAATTTAATTAATTAATAAAAATAATTTTATTAATAAATTTAATTATAATAATTGTTGTATAAATTTATTTACATGYTTAATTTTTAGATAAAATTTAATTATTTTCTAAACTATATATTTATGGTTTATTACTTTGATTTTAGGGGTTGATTACATTATTAGCTATATTACAGATAAGTTTTTATTTTTATGAACTCTCGTTTGAAGTAAACAACCATAAAGTCCAATACAGTATTACAATATTAGTTCATATATTAGTACCGTATATCACACATATATTAAATATATAGATATTACTATATTGTATTAAAGGTACAGTATATTGGACTTAACAATTAGTTATAAAATTATATATATATATATATAGTATAATCTTAATGTCGCCAATAATAATAATAATAATTTGGACTATTAATTATAATTATTATCAATGTGCTATAAATTTTATTTTTTATATGTGATTAATTTTTATAAATTATAATATTAATTCATGATATTTTCTAAAAAAATAAATACATTTAAAGTGATTAATTTAATTAATATTGTGTAATGTTTTTAGTTTTTACCTGAAAAAATTGTTGCATTATTTAGCATTAAAATATAATTAGTTAGATTAAAAATACTTATACACACAAAAATATACTGTAATTTAATAATCTTTCTAAAAATATAATCCATTAAGTAATTTAATAATAAATAATAAGCAAAAAAAATTGTAAAAATCAATTTCTTAGTGTTTCATAAAATTATTTTCTCTAATTTTTCAATAAACTGTATTTAACCAAAAATTAAAATGCTATGAAAGCACATTTTCTCTAACCCATCAATGATTAAGTACAGTACATATGTTACTTATATCATCGCATTATAACTATTTATATAAAACAGTATTTACTGTACGGTATATTATATAAAATTTGGTGTCATATATATATATATATATATATATAGTTTTTAAAATACTTTTGTAACTATAGTTATACATCTACAGTGACAATSTAATATGTATTATATAATAAAAATTTAGATTTTATCAAATGTTTATATACAGTATTAATAAATAGTGCACTTTTTTCATTGAATTCAAATACAGTATACTTTATGATATTACAATATTATATCAATGTCAACAATACAATGCAATACTACAGTATTTCAAACAAATTATTTGTTATAAATATATGTTATATTGTGTATACATTTACTGTGTGTTGTACTGTATATTTCAATAATAATATCATAGCTTTATGTTTATAATTTTGAATTTTCTATTACAAGTGTTGACTTTTAGCGACAAGTTTTGCTGATTCAAACCATAATCTATCCATAAATCTGTGGCACTCAACAATTTTGAGTACTTTTACAATATTATTAGGA